AAACAATTCATATTAAATTTAATATCTTTCACTATCAGGAAAGACATTTTAAAATGTGTTTAAAATTTAGTATTTTGGTCTGTCAGTTATGTGATATCTCGCAGACAAATTTAACAAGAAATTAAAATGTCCCATATAGTTAGAAACTATTCTATACGTCTTCTTTTCCTTTTTTTTCTTTTTTTTTAATCATTTCACCCCAAGCAAGGTAATAAAGCCACTAGGATGCAAGAAATTACTGAATGTTAGAGAATATGAGAAAAATTACTATTAAGGAACAGTAAAAAAAAAAAAAAAAAAAAACAAGAATTAAGAAGACAGAAGATACAATTGACATTGCATTTAAATTTTTGAAGAACAAAGTTGACTGGAATGCAAGAAATTGGAAGAGAGTTTCACAAGTGAGAAGTGCAATAGAAGAAACTGTTAGTTACATTTAGTCAATTCAACTGTAAAATGATGAGACCTTGCTGCCAATCTAGTACTGCACTTAAATTCATAAAGTCTAGGTACCATAGGGGACAGTTCATCCAAATAATTACCATGGAAGTATTTATAGAAAATGCACAGGAAAGGTACGTTAAGGCAATGGGGAAGAAACCAAAGCTGAGATACCAGGTCAGGACCAATAACGTTGCTAATTCTTCTTTGGATTTTACCAAGAATCTCTAAATATATAGCAGAAGCACCAGATCAGATGTGGAAGCAATATTCAAAGCATAGATGAATGGCAGACTTATAAATATGTAAGATAGATTCTGGTGACAAAAAACCATGTGAACCATGTTTCTTAACTGCAAACTTGATAACTGATTCAATATACTCTCTTCATTTCATGTCAGAGAAGGGGTAATGAGTCACTCAACTGGAGGTTAGCATCAGCCATAATGATGCTAACTTTTAATACACACATTTAATACACATTAATGCACTTACATTTAATATATGGATTTAAATTAAAAAAATATAGCAATATTGTATACATTAGGCTTGTGTGTTTTAATTATGGAAAATATATAATACATAAGTCACTTGTCTGAAAAATATATCATTTAATGTAGGTTTTATTTATTTTATGTATTAAAATTCTTCAATAATTAATAAACATACAAGCTCAATGTGCATAATATAGCAAGCAGCCTTATATCTGCCCACAAATAATATCATAAACACATCAAAATATGATTTTAAATTATATCCCAAACAGTATGATTGTAGGAAAGAAACAATACATCTTGAATTTCAAAAAAACATTATATTCCATTCTTGAAAATACCCAGTAATTGTTGAAAGCACTTGAGCATATATGTATGGATAATTTTCCACAGATTGAAACCAAACATCTGTTAGCTTGTGCAGAGACAAGAGAAAATTACCAAAACAAACCTTTAAGAAAACCTTCTGTCAAAAATAAACATTATGTAAGCTCAGCTAATTTTAACACAAAACTACAATAAGGATCATATTTGTTATAATAGCTATGGTCTTTCTGATCATGGTACTGCACCAAATACCCTAAAGTGAAGAGCCATATTATTCCTATGTATTATTATATATGTCTATAGTGTATTTGATTGTACTACAAGAGAAACAAAAATAAAGATTTTATGACTAATAATTAACTTGAATTTTTAAATTCCTGGTGAAATCTAATTATTTTCTCCTCAACCTTCTTTTACCTAAATACAAATACCAACATAGCATCTACTCTTAAAGAGAATTTGTGGGAAAATCTTTTGCCAAGTAATTTCACTGCCACTATCTTTTAAATTTATTTAGTTGGCTATTTTTGAATTGCACATGCTTAATTCTTTGTTATGTGATTCTCCTGCTGGTTATTTGTTCATAATAAAAGTTAACATAAATCTCACTAAATGCAATAGATCTTATGAGAGTTAGTCTTAGCACTCATTTAACTTGTACCATTTTTAAATCTGGTGCCACTTCTTACTTCATAAACATCTGTCAAAAAAATAAAATAAAAAAATATGAAGCAAGGAGAGCCTAAAAACAAACAAGACTTTGTCTTACTGGTATCAACTTGCTCCTGACACTCACTGATCTGTGGGAGTTTTTCGCCAATGTCTCAATTTTGCTCTCAAAATGTAAACTACAAATAAAGAGTTCTTTTAAAAATGTCTCTATGTATTTTTTTTCATTTAAATATTTTCAAGGTCTTGAACCTTTTGGTTATCTAGGACTATAGTTATTGACTAAACATAGCATAGACTGAGACAAACTTGTTAACCATTACACCATTGTGAATATAAAAAATGTTTCACTTGTGATTTGTCTAAATGCATTTTTGATAAATCTTCAGTTTCTGAAAAAATATATTTTTTTAATAGCCATTTTCTCTTTTCGTAACCAATTTTTAATATGTAACTTACTACTTAAGATATTAAAATAAATGGATTTTGGTGCATAATTATATAGAAATGTATTTATACATAGAACCCTTGATACTGCTGCAGTTGATGTGATTGTTTGTAAATCTATACTTGGCTGAGTTAAGATTACAAGTGACAAAATTTGTCTGTGTTGCTATAATGCAAATGAAAATTTATAGATTTCTTTTGAGTATAAAAACTGATATTTTGTCAGTTTCATGTCAAATATTACGCCATATATTTACCCATATTGGCATGGAGATGAACTGGCTAATTTTTCAATAAACATCTCCAAATAACTTTTTGCCCAGATCGAAGAGTAGAACAGTTAAATATAATAAAAAAAAAATAGTGAAATGCTTTTAATACTGACAATAGCTACACAAAAAACAATTTATCTGAAAATTATATCAAACATTTGATTTAATGAATAAATTATAAAGATTATAAACTCCAATTTTACATGAATTTTGAATGTGATGAATCAATGATTGCATTATAATGGGCTCATGCTGTTGAATCCAATGCCAACTAAAAGTTCAATGAATTTGAACACTGCTTGAACACTGAATTTCTTGATCCCTGATTTAGAGTGACTCCAGTTTTGCTATGATGACATTTTGTGAACTTCAATGATTGTGTTATAACTGGGGTCAAATTGTATGTACTTGAAATGTGTTCCATGAAAATATTCATTAGTCTTTTGTACCAAATACAAGTGCCATCTAGAATGGTCATGTTTGTGGAAATTGTTCAACTTCTAAAAAGTAGTCATACTGGTTCAAATAAATGTTCTTGGTGGGAATTTTTATATGTCTAATAAACAAGAAACAATTATGTCTCAAAGAAAATTATTTGGAAAATAATAAACATGCTGTACGAAATAAGCACCATTCCCATGGTCAAATTAAACAAACTAATTTATTCATCATGTTGGCACTTGTATTTGGTACTAACATTAAAGATAACAGTTTTTATTAGTATTTTGGTATGTAGCAACTAATATCTGAATTCTAAGAACTAAATTATTTTCTAATCCCTAACTATATCGGAATGGAAATATGCACAAATTTATAAATTTATGTTTTGCATTATCTTACTCGGTTTAAAATTTAAGATTATTGCATGAGGAATCTTGGAGCCAAGCCATTAAAATGGATAAATTCTATGTCAAATTATGAATCATAACAATCTGTACACTTTCCTTAAAAATTGTTTTGAAAAAATTTCAGCTTGACAGAAATCTCATGCTAAATAGAAATATTCTATTTATGTTGCTACTCCAAGTTTAATTTTTAATTATCCTTTTATCAATTAAATTTATTCTCAATTCAGATTTATTTTACCTTAAAGTCATGTCATAAACCCATTGGCACTTTCTTGGTTGAATAACTTTGCTTGATTAATCTAAGCAAACTATCATTTCATCAGTGTTAGTCAATTTCAATGCTATGTAACATGTATATAGCTTATATGGCATGTAATTGTATTGGCCAATATTTTTAATTTTTTCTTTTAGATTATACATGATTGACATCTTCTGAGGTGTTACCAAAAAAAACCTAACATAAAAAATTGTTAGCTTGTTTTCTGTCATTTTTTTAAATGTATTTCAACTTTATTTGCACTTTGAAAATAAATAATAAGCATGATACCAATTACAGCTGTTAACATTTCGTAGAATTGGTAATCTTTAATCTTTGGAGATTTGGTTTTCCTTTGAACTACAAGTGTTTCTTATTTGTCATTAAATCAGAATCATTAACCATTTTCTAAATTAACCTCTTGATCAGAAAAATAAAGAACAAGCAAAGTTTAAATAAAGTGAATTTTGATTCATTTTACCTCAAATCAATCATTGGACAGAATTCTTTTCAGACTTTTGGTTTCAATGTTACAGGAGCATTTTCTTTGTCATATGCTTAGAACAAAGTTTTCTAATAAATCTGTATTGACACTTGAGGTGAAAATGGGCAAAAGTTAACACATTTCTAAATTGTTCAATAAAACTGTAAAGTTTCAAAAGTCGAAACATATAAGATTTAAAACATTCAAAAAACATAAGATTCAAAACATTTTTAAAACAGAAAATATCCATCCATATGAAAATAGTCTACACTCAACAAAGAAACTTGGACAGCACAAATGTCATAAGATATTTTACTCATTCTCAGTTTAATAAGAATTTTAAGTTAATAAAATGTTCCGTCCTTCATTTCCCATTTTAATTATGACCAATATGAAACTGAGTTTGGATCTATTTCTAAGTGAGTCCTGGTAAATGAGCTAACAATCTTCATCTATTGGAAGAGCTTTAAGTACAAAAAGCATTCATTAGATTTTTTTTCCCTCTTAGATGCCTAATAAAAGGAAAGGACTTTTTTCTTTTTTTTTTTAAGGAAATTTGTTAACCCCTGAGCTTATTAACACCACCCCATTCATTTGATCCTCTAAATAATTTCCCAATCTCCTCTCTTATGATGCCCAAGTTTTTAAAGTTATAGCTTCAGATCCTCACTAAAAAAGAATAAAAAGCTTTCTATATTGCTTATTTTCACATGTCCCTTTCTTTGCTTTTTTTCACATGTCCCTTTTTTTGCTTATTTTCACATGTCCCTTTTTTTTGCTTATTTTCACATGTCCCTTTCTTTGCTTATTTTCACATGTCCCTTTCTTTGCTTTTTTCACATGTCCCTTTTTTTGCTTTTTTTCACATGTCCCTTTTTTTGCTTATTTTCACATGTCCCGTTTTTTGCTTATTTTCACATGTCCCTTTTTTTTTTGCTTATTTTCACATGTCCCTTTTTTTTTGCTTATTTTCACATGTCCCATTTTTTTTGCTTATTTTCACATGTCCCTTTTTTTGCTTATTTTCACATGTCCCTTTTTTTTGCTTATTTTCACATGTCCCTTTTTTTTGCTTATTTTCACATGTCCCTTTTTTTTGCTTATTTTCACATGTCCCTTTTTTTTTTTGCTTATTTTCACATGTCCATTTTTTTTTTGCTTATTTTCACATGTCCCTTTTTTTTTGCTTATTTTCACATGTCCCTTTTTTTTTTGCTTATTTTCATATATGCCTTTCTTTGGTTATATTTTATTGTTTATCCAAAAACAAACTTTATTGCTCAAGAGAAAAATTGGAAAAATATTTTCCATCCAAGATCAAAAGATCCATAATGACAATCAGAGCCGTCTTTAATCAACCATTGTTACTTAATATGTCCAAATTTTCAAGAATATAATACCAAGGGTAGAAACTTCTGGCTACTTTGAAAATTATATACTTTATCAAGAGAAATCATTTGTTTACTTGCCTTTGAAACATCTAAATATATTGTTTTAATCCAAAACAATATTTTGAATGCTTCCACGCTTCTCAGCATTTCATATTATTTTGACCATATCAGTTTTATAGAATAATAAAATCAATTTGTAATATATGTTGCTTGTAATAGGCTTGCCAAGTTTTTATTAAAGTTAGTGGACACTCAACCAAACTCAACTTTTTTCAGATGCAATTGATTCATCTAGAATCTATCTTATAATTTAGTTGACATGAAATACAAAATTTGATCAATCATATTTCCTGAACTGTTTACTATAAAAAGCTCTTCCATAAAGTATATTGAAATCAGTATTTACTCTATCAACCCAAACCTCAAGGTAATATGAAAATATCTGAATTAATCAAATGCTATCATTTCTATTCAGAGATTTCCAACCAGTTACCAATACCAAATGGATTTGTATGGATATGATTAAATTGGAATACAAATTGTGACTCTCTCTATATATAATATAAATACAAATGTTTAGAGGTAGCAATTTAAGATAATGTTGCCCAAAAAAGTGACCTTTGACACTATCATTAAATTAATGTTCATTTTCACTCTGAAACTAATGATTTTTTCAATAGAAAAGTTTAAAAGATAGAGAAATATTTTGAATGAATTCTAATTGATAACCCCAAAAAACAAAAAAAAAACATTATGTGTACGCATATGATTGTTTTTAAAGAAATATATTCACCTACTGTTATATAAGGGTGGTGCTGAAACTTACTTGGCCCCACACATTTTCTAAAATGGAACCAAACAGCTAAATATAAGATCATTTTTAAGAGCCTTTTTTTTTGGTTCTTTGTATTAAATACTGAAATGAAAACATTTTTTATATATAAGGTCTCTTTTGTCTCTGTGTGCATCATTGTACTTTAGAACAACTGTCATCTGTACAGCTAATATTAAGTGATTATACATGTTTATAAAATATTAAATGATTATACATGTTTATAAAAGCACTTCTTATAGGAAGTATATAGCACTAAATTGGTTTAATAGAAACAATTGCTGGAAATATTAATTAATCAAAAATTAAAGCATCAATTAAGTTTTTCTTCTTTTTCTATCCAAGTGTATGTTTTTCTTTGCTAAATCTTTGAACCAAATTCTTTGGTCAGTTGTTATTTTAAAAAAAAAAGAAAAAAAGTTAGTCAATAAACAAAAGCCACAAAATAAAGTTTCTGATCTCATTTGTTTACAAACCAGTACTCCTGTATGAAACACAGCCATTAACAGTTATGAACATATGACTCATCTTTTATTTGATAAACTCTACCATAAACTCATGTATGTTACTATTGTTATCTATACATTTATACTGCCTGGTAATTTGGGCATATAAAAAAAAAAAACATCAAAAGCCTTTATTTTCTCCACATTTGAATTACTTTCCTGAAAAGCTAAATTTTTTTTGTTTTGTATTCTGCTAATTTACCATTAGTTCTTGGTGCTTCTTTGACTCATTTTTCATTCTTCTTTCAACTGTTTGTGGTACTATATGCATACTTAACATTAAACCATTATACTAAGAATCAATCGGAAGTTACATCAACTAAGTTGGCAAAGATTCAGGTGGTATAGAAGAGATGCGCAGTATGACTAAATATGGAATGTTGGGGTTAATGTGATATCTCTTCTGTTCAGATGAGAGACTTATCTTCAAACAATGTTAACATTTGCAGTATCATCAAAAGGAGGCTTATATAGGAAAAGAGGTGCTGAAAAGTTTCTGGTCTGATCTGTTTCCCAAATTCTGACCAGACATCAGAAGTTTTTTTTTTTTTAAGGCATTTTGGTCAAGTTGAGACATTTTCAGCCCTTCACCCTTTCATGCATTTTAAAGATCTCTGGAATCCTCAATCTCTACACTTCACATATCTATAAATGCTAGCAAAAAACTACTTTATTAATGCTAACATGCCTTTAAGACCTTTATTATGGCAAGCAAATAATACTTGCAAGATCTTTATCATGGTGATATTGTTAAAAAAAAAAAATTGTATTCCCCTTACTAGGATGTATTATGGATAGTGGCTCAGAATGTGACGTCATTGAGCTGAGTTTGAATTCCACTTGAGTTTGTTATATTCGCTAACTCACAGGTACCCTTAGGAGAAGGAGAATCCATCTCTTCTCCTCTCAGCTATAGGTTAAATAGCAGGACAATTTGCCTAGTACGAGATCTCTGAATTTAAAACTTTAAAAACGTACTTGCTAGTGGGGAACCACAGTAGCTAAACCTAGTGTCGTTGAGAGCTGTGACTCTCTACTCCCCAGTGGGGTTTACTGGACTTGAATAAAGTGAAAGTGTTTAATTTAATGTTGTGAGTTTGTGTCTAACAGCTTTGGTTTTGCAGTTATTTCACTGTCTCTCTCATCAAATTCAGTATGGTCATTCCACTGGCAACAGTCTTTTTTAATCTTTGATCTCTTTTAGAAAAACTTTGACATTAGACAATAACTTAGACAATATTCTTTTGCATTTATCTAATCAGTAAAATTTAATTCAGTATATTTTTCTTGAACTATTTTTTATTTAGTGTCATTTCATCTATTCAAAGTATGTTTATCTCACATCATTTCTTAAAAAACAAAAACCTTGCTACATTCTTTTGAAAATTTAGCAAAAAGCTTTATATAGTTAAAACAAGTGCAGTAGAAAGAAATGATAGATTTTGTACTTCTTACTTGGCTCTATCAAGAGTAAAAAAAGTATTTTAAATAATAAATAAATGACTTTTCTTTTGAAGTTCATCCTACAAAGAAATAAGAACCTACAGTTTTGTTTAATTTTTTTTGTTTTTACTTGAAGTTAAATATTTTTATTAGTTTTCTTTTTTTAATATTAGTTTGTAGTTGTCTCTGAATGTCTTAGTTGCTGTAGAAAATAAAATTTTCCTTTGGATTTGATAAGAAGTAGACATGAATTCATAATTTCTCTATATTTTGAATATGAGAGGGAATGTTAATAGTTGATTTGATTCTGTGTGTTTGTTTTTCTAAGCATATGAAGCCACTGTGTAGATATGCATAAACTCTTCTCTCTCTCTCTCTCTCTCTCTCTCTATATATATATATATATATATATATATAGGTTACCCCTCACAGACAGGAACAAGATTATCTCATCTGTATAAGTCTCTATGTCTTGAACTCCCAACTCCATATCTACCTGGTTTTGAATGTCTGTGTATATAAATGTTTTTTTGCCTATAAATTTAAATATAGTTCCTCTTGTAAGGGCAACTGTGTTACCACGATATTATATACGTACATCTATTTTCTGATTAAAAAAAAATTGTGTACGTGAATGTAACTGTATGTTAACTTGTATATGCGTGTGTCTTCATGCTTGTGTGCACATCTTAAAGATAAAGAATTTGTAATTTGATCCTGAAGTTGAAAGTTAGTCAGCACTGGGCCAAACAGAATCTCTTCTTTCTTTTTTCGCTTCTTTCTTTTTCACTTTCTCATCAGCTTTCTTTCGTCTCTTTTTCTCGCACTTTCTCTCTTCTTAAAAGTCAAAGTTAGATGTGAATTCTTAAAAGATGTCCAAACATTCCTACATTCCACGGGAATGTCACTTTCTAAAAAACAAGCTCACCTATTAGATTTAACTTGTTTAAAAGTTTGGGGTAAAATATCTGGTATCTTTATAGAGATGCCAACTGCTATGTAGGTCATACCATTCCATTTGCAAGTCTTATCAATCCCTAACTCCCTTAAGAGGGAAAAAACCCAAGAGGAAAACTTACTCCCATTCTGGTTTTGCAACAGTTGTTTATGTTAATGAAAGGCCAAAATTTGGGAAGCAATAATTCCTTGAAGAATTCCTTTTATAATTTCTAATTACTGATCTTTGTAATAGATTATTCGTGAACATTACATTTTCATTTTGACAAAATAAAATTTTAATCCATTTGAAAACAACTATTTTTAGTCTTTTAATCATCACAAAAACATTTTAATTCAGAAGGAATGTAAGAAGATGCAATATTCTTATATCTTGAAAAATATAAAGTAAATATAAAAGTGGACATTGAGGTCAACACTAAGTGGTGACAGTCTCTTTCATGCTTGAATGCAATCTTCAGGCCATGTGTGGTGGGTAGTCACTTGACTATATATGCTGATCATTAAGGCATTATGTATATATGTATGTATATAATATATATATATACACACACACACACACACAAAGGGCATGATGGATATATTGTCATCTAAATTGCACAAAAATGAAAATAGCACTGACATCTCATTTTAACAGATATATTCACCAAAATTACACAGAAATATCTTGAAATACTAAAGAGCACATTTATTCAATAAAATCGCCATTGGCTTCAACCATGGCCTCCAGGCAACTTTGGAATCTCCTGCAACTCTTTATCTTTGGTGTTACAAGGAGTTTTGTTAGTCTTTTGCTCAACTGCACCTACACATAATAATCAAATGGGTTGCAGTCTGGGGAATTGGGTAGCCAGATGTGGTCACAGAAATTGACAGTCATGACTGGGTTCTCCTGCCTGTGTGGCATGGTGCAGAGTCCTGTTTCCAGACATAGTCTTCCAGCAGCCACCCTCTTGACCCAAGGTACTTGATGTAGGACTCCATGTTGAGTCTGAGGTCCTGTTGGAAGATGAATGGGGGCATAATGTAACCATCACTAGTGATCACTCCAAACACTGTGACTGTGTATTTAGTTTTCATTACCCTCAGTACATCTTTTGGGGACACAGCAAGACAACAGTTGTTCTGTGTGTCCCCCATCTTATCCTGGCAGAAATTTTTCTCATCTGAGAAAAGCCAAAGCATGTTCGGTTGGAGGGAATGCTTGAGTTTGAACAAAAGATTCGTAGTGCTTTTGTCCTTCATGGCTTTTGATAAAAATTGGCCCTTTCTCCTCTTGTATGAGAAATACTGCATGTCTTCACGCACTACCTGCGTGATAAGAAATTCAGACACTCCTGTGTCCCTAACTATGGACCTGATTGACTTGAAGGGATCATTGTAAATCTTACCAACAAATTCAGGAGTTCTTTGTTTATCAAAATGATCAGAATGAGTTTTTCAAACTGCCATACCTTTGTAATCACCATTAGACTCATCAAACTCTTTCCAAATCCTCTGCACTGTCCTCAGACTAACATCTAAACAAGTCAGGGCTTCAGAACTTTTCAGCACCTCCCCTGTATGTCAGATTGTGAATCATTATATCAAAATTCAAAAAATGTATCCACCAAGAGAAACTGAGTTTCTCGTAGTTTGCTACACATCTGAGATAATATTTTTAATGTTGATGAATTGTATAGAAAATATAACATTCAACAGTATCTTGAAATGTATGAATTTCATACTTAGGAAAATACCTTTTACTTTTTTTTTTTTTAATAAATTCAATTGCAAAAATCTTTCAAATAGTTTTAACTTTAAGTAATTGAAATAATGATCTATTGATGCTTTGTCACATGTCTTTATAAGAAGAACAACTTATTTTCATCTTTCTTTTTTTTAGATGAAGTCATTACAGAAGATATTTGTTTAGCATAGAAATAATTTTATGTTCTTTATGTCTGATTTGTTGGCAAATGTATGCAAACAATTGTGGGCTGGGCAATACTAATTTATATACATATCTATTGAGATGCATGTAAGTATATTTACAACATAGGAATATTGATAAATACTTCCTTATTGGTCAATACTGCTTAAATTCAGTTATTGAATTGGGACTGGTGCCTTCAGCAGGATTTGGCCATAAGTATATATGGATAATTAAATGATAAAAGGAAAAAACTCCTATATTACATGTGTTTGACCCTGGAAAGCACTTCTTCAGACTGATGGTTTTAGTGATAGTCATTTTTGTCATTCACTTACCCACTATTAGTCTGATATATAGATTTGTATATCATATCACACACACAACATGCTTTGTTAAATAATATGGATAAGTTCTGACTATCAGTTTTTAATTAAATCTTTCAAATTTCTGAATAAGTTGTTTTATTGGTAAATTTGTCAAAATTCATATTAACTTATATTTTATATTATTCCCCCCTCCCAAGTACTTTCAAATGTTACTCACTTCATTTTCAAGGATTGTTTTGTGTGTAGTTACACAACTGTTTTTTTCCCCCTATGGAGAAAGATCCCTGATTCAATGTTGGATACTTTTCTTTTATTACAACAATCTCCAGAATTTGGAGTCTTTCTTTGTGCTGTGCAAAGAAAACACATGCATATAAAAAATTTCAGTTTGACTGTTTATATGATGTCACTTTGAGTGAGTTGAAATTGATTCTATCAAACAATCAGTTGCAGTAATTACATACTGAACAATACTTGAAAATGAATGTAGCAACATTTGAAAGTATTTGGGGTGGTGTTAATAATAATAAAAAATAAAACTTAATATGAATTCTTGCAAATTTACCAATAAAACAACTTATTTGAAAATTTGAAAGAGTTAATAAAAAATTGATAAACAAAACATATTTGAGAGTATTCTTACTGGCAAAATGCACCTCTTTTTATATATATATATATACAAAATAACCATGTTGACTTGCTTGTTGTTTAACCTTAATCATAGCATGAAACTCAGTTACAATTTGGATTGGAGTTTCTAAGTGCTGTCCCCCCCACCCAAACTATTTAAGGTGATAAAGCCACTAAGATTGAGTGTGAATGAATGTAAGAAAATATCATTAAGGAGCAGGGCTAATGAAAAAACAGGGATTAAGGAGGCAGATGATGGCAATTAACACTGCATTTAAATTTTTCGAAAATCAAATTGGAAAGCAAGAAATTCAAAATGAGTTCCACAAGTGAGAAGCACAAGAGAAGAAACTATTAGCATAGAACTTACAGTTGCATCTAGCAATCTCAACTGTAAAATGTCGAGACTTAACTGCGAATCTAGTACTGTGCTTAAATTCATAGTCAAGGTACAAAAGAAGAAAGCTCATCAGACCAATTACCATGAACACACACACACATATATATATATATATATATATATATATATATATGAAAAATTTTTAAACAGATATTACATAGTATTGACTTTTTTAATGCTTGTTCAGTTTTGTTGTATGTGCTGACATTACAGAAATTATTTTAAGACTTTCTATAACATGATATCACAGGCAGGATTTCTTAAACACAGACATTATAATTTTCATTTGCTATAATGACCACTATTTAGTGATACAGCAGATTCTGGTTAGTGTGGGGAAATTAAACGGCTGTAGTTTAATCATAAGTGCATTTAAATCAGTCAAGTCTTCATTTCATTTTCTCATTGACATTACAGCTACTTCACTATTCTCATAAGCTTTAGTCATTTTCTGCATTAACAAAATATTTCTGTTGGCAGAGAGAAAAAACATAATTAAATATTGAATTTTGAAATTTTTGACCTAAAATTTGAGTATAAAACTGTAAATTGGAAATCAAAAAACAAGTGATTGTTAGTGGCTCATAACTAATGTGTTACTGAAAGAATAAGTCTGTTATATGTATTCTATTTTCAGAGCTGTGAAGTCTGTAAACAAAATATCCAAATCTAACAAATATTATTTCAAATATATGACTTCAGTCTGTATACTATCTTTACCTTCAGGTATTACAGGACAAAGACTTTTCAGATATCCCTCCACAACAACCATGTTTCTACTATTCTTGACCATATTTTACCAGCAAACTCTTCTATTTCATCTCTCCATTTTGACTGATCTCTTTCTACTGTGTTTGTTAGCCAGTGGACACCAATCAAACAATCTTTTGCTCCACCTGTAATCCTTTCTTCCTGTTCTATATGTTCTGACAGCTTCTATTTTTATCACTTAATCATGTCTAGGATATCTTGGTCTCCTCCATGTTCCATGTTGATGTCTTTCTGTCTCTGAGAGTTATTTCAAGCTTTGCTCTTTATATTGGCCTTTGTGCAATTCTCAGTTTGTCAGTATATAGCAAATTGTAAATATGTGTTCTCCTTGGAGGGTAACTGCTAATTAATAGGCTTATCAAAATCTCCTTTGAATGACCAAGATACTGTCAATATAATTGTAATATGTCAGCATGTTGTAATCTTACACATGTTGACCTATTGCGATGTAAATGTAAACCTTTTTTTGAATGATGTGCAGTAAAGTGGATGATGGCATTAAAGAGAGAGTGGTTTGTATTTTTATACAAAACTTGAATCAAGTATGAAAGAAATTGTAAAGTAAAATCATTATTTCCTGAATTTGTTTATAAGGCCTGAGTAAGTACTTTCCCCCTCCCAACATTACTGAAAATTACTTCTGACTTCTCCAACTTTGTATGCCTCACATCCTGTTATTTATATCAGCTCATAATACAACCTCACACATATATCCAAATTCTGATTGCATGCTTTATTGAATAAGATTTTCACAGATTATCAATAAATATCTACAGAAATGTTGAGAAAATTTACGGAGAAATGTAAATACCAGATCTACCCCCACAACTCTCATTTTATTTTTAACTTTTTTATTATTAACATGTACCTATTCGAATGTAAGTATATTAGTTATGTTATCATTTTGTTAGAGCATAGACTCTTGGTTATTGATATATTAATCCACTATATATAATCCATATATAAAAGCCAATAATTTTTTCTATGAATAATCATTTAAACTGAATATAAGCACTAACTTTTGTTTCTTTTTTTTTTTAATGCTAACTTGTTTTTTTAATACTTGATGAAAAATAAAAACTACTGAATATGATTTTCTTTTAAACATACGTGTCACAAGTATATTAAAAAAATAGTGATTGATATTGACTTCAAATATAATACTTTGATAGAACTTAGTTTATATCAACTGAAGTTGAAATAATCTAAACATTTAAAATACAAGTATATTAGCCTGAATCTTTGTTTTTAAATATCTGATAACTAACAGTAAAGAGATCTAAGTTTTCAAAGCAGATACCAAGTTAGACTACTTACAGTGCACATCACCAAAAGTGCACATTGGTTTCATACAGGTGCAGCAAAAGGGCTTTCCATGGGATACTTGTAAAACTCACAATACTCATTTGGTCTAAATATTGAATCATAAAATGCACATTTGTGTCCTCATTTTTTATTTCTGTTAATGTTTTACTTAGTAATCAACACTTAAAAATGTATTTTTAACCCTGCAAATTCATTGTAAAGCCTATGAACGCAATTAGGCCAAATGATGTTGCTGTAACTTCAGTCGCAAATTAATTTTTGCAGGGCTTGTGTGTTTGGTGAGCCCAAGATTTATAATTCAAGGCTTCTTTGACAATTTGCCCAATTGTTTGCCTGCTGGTGTCCATATCCTTGGCGATTTTCCTCATGCTTTTGCTGGAGTTCTCCTTGACAACCTTGGCGACAAACTTAGACATCCTGGTGGTACCAGAGCTCTTCTGAAATTGTCCACATCAAAATGACTAACAAAATTAAGTTGTTGCAAATGATTTACAATATTTGATTTAGATACTTCATATGTTGGCTCTCTCCCACATCTGTCATATTGATTATTTTCAAGTAATGTTTTCATTTGATTGCTATCAACTTTTCTGCTCAAAAACAGAGCATTGTTCAACAAGTAATTCTCAACACTAAACTTCACAAATCACTTTTAATACATTTGATCATTCACAGCATCTTCTCCATAAATTGCATAAAGCTCTCATACATTTGAGTGAGATTTTTCTCCTTTAAATATTCTAAAAACATTGCTCATTTTCTTCATCTTTCATATCAGAATCAATAAACAAAAATATGTCAACTTTTATAAACTTTTAAAAAAATATCCACATTAATATGATAGTCATCACAACACAAAACCAAATCTTTTTGTAAGAGTTAAAACAAAATGATTCTATTATTTAATAACAAAAACAGAACACACTTTTTGGCTGACCAAATATTTCACATCTCAGATCACACTTGTTTATAAGTTGTCATAACAAGTATAAAACTACTCTGACTAATTTCACTTTATATTAGAAGTAATTTGTGATTAAAAAATAAACTTATGACAAGTATTGAATAATCAACTCCTGAAATACATCCTTTATTTTATCATTTTTTGCTGAAATTTCAACTGTCATAATTTTCATTTCATATTTTTCTCCTACATTTTGTCCTCAGAACAGATATTTTGTCCGGCTTTCTTCATCCTGTTTAATTTTCTTACCATTTATTTTGTCATATTTTTAAAAAAAATTTTTCTTGTCATTGTGATTTTTATCTTCAATTAATGCTAAAAATGGATTGTGTTTCATCTGTTGGCAGGATATCCGAGGAGAGGCTTTGACTTCCTCCTCGGAGACTGCCATCAATTGCATACACCATCATCACCTCAAGAAGTTACCCTCAGATAGTGATATTGAGAACTATGCACAAACACACCTCAACCGACACAAGAAAGGCCTATTTGGGAAGAAGGTCTCATTGGCCAATATGCTCGCTTGGTCCAAGGTAAGTTATCTATCTTTCTCTTTATTTTATTGTACCTGATGAAATGAAGATAAAAATATATTCTTGTCTAATCTACTGGTTCTTAATAAGTGGCACCTGGAAGAACCTTATCTAGAAGAAAATCATTGCTTACCTGATTTGATTTAACCAACACTGATTTCTTTCAATTTACTTACTAATCTAAATGTGAGACACAGGCAAGTTTAATAAAATTGTTCTGTATTTCTTTCTGACATGATTGGTGATTATTTATATTCAGTCTAATGTCTTCATCTTTGTTATTATCACAATGTTTCAACCATTATGCTATCTGGTCTTCTTAAAATGTCTATTAATCTGGGCTACTTTCAGGGAATTTTGAACTGAACTCTTTATTTCATTTATTGGGTAGATAGTTCTCATTCCACTGTTTATATCTAGAGATGTTTTTTTTTAGTACTGTACAGTTATTGCTTGCCCTATTTCCATTGGTCTGAACAAAAGAACAAAACAAGATCTCACTAGACATGAACAGTGGGACAAGAACAATCCACTCTCGTAGATTAAATAAAGGGCTCAGTTTGAAATTCCCTGAAAGTTACCTGGATTATCAGACACCTGTAGAACACCAGAGAGTACCAAGGGCTGAGACACTGGGATAAAAACAAAGAAAAGGATATTAGGCTGAAAATAAATAATGATATCCTAAAACATCTGACATGATGATTATTTTATTAGCTCTTAACTTCCAGTACATCATAGAAGCATATTCCTTTGTAAATTTTTTAATATTTATTTATTTTGACATGTTAACAATTTTGTCATGTGGTTCCTATTGATTTTGGATCGATGAAATTCTTTTATTTAAAAAAAATTGCCATTTGTAGACACTAGGATGTCTTGGCTGAAGCTTTCTCTCATAAATAGTCATATGATTACAAAAATAAAACAAAAATAAATCACTTTTTATTTCAACTATAAATTATATTTCATTTGATAGAAACATATGTACAGATTTGAAAGTATAAATTTGCTTTAATATACAAGATGGAATATAATTTCAGTAGATATCTTTTTAATAAACATCCTATAAATCTATTTTACTAACCATATTAACCTACATTTTTGTGTGCACACACACACATACATATGAAGATTAGTCAAAATGAATACCTGTTCTAATTTAATTTTTTAAAGTATTAGTCAGAATTCTGATCATCTTCACGGATGCAACTAATACAAAACTATACGTTGTTCATTAGCACAAGTATTTATACAAAGTTATGCGCCATTATCCATTACTGTAATTTTTTCATTATGCTTTTAAATGCAAAATGGTTCACAATGTTCTGAGCATTCGTTGAAATGTGAAAAATTATCCATTGTGGAATTTTGAAGATGATCTTGGAAGAAGACCGAAAGTACTTGGGAAATGAAAATAAAAGAAATTTAAACTGCTATAGCACATTTTTCTCATCCTTTAACATCAATACATGGAGGCTTATTTGTGAGTATGAACGGATTTTGTTAAAAATTAGTTGACATAATGTCTGTAATTTATTCAATCAGATATGTCTAAAAGAGAATTTACTGCCTAAATACACAAATATATAATGAAAAAGTATTTTAATGTAAAAAGAAATTGCTCAAATTCTTGGCGCCAATCTGTACTTAAAATTTATCTCAACATTTTGTTTTAGAGTGACCATTTTTTTTTCTCTTTTATTCAAAATCTACCCTACAACTTACTTAGAAAACTGGTGTTATCTTCATTTCCCATGTATTCTAATCTCTGTAGAGATTTCTTGTCACAGTCTGTACAACCTGGTGTTCATAATGCCACCCACAGGATTTTAAACTAAAGATGAAGTCCTGGAATCCTAGACTGTGATCTTAATCTCTTTTTCAAACAAGTCACTCTGAAAACAGAATCTGTTTCTCTCACAGCTTGGAAACAGTGTCACTAGTCAGTCTCCATCATAAATATAGTCAATAATGGCCATTGACTAATTACCACTACCACACCCTAAATGAAAGAATCCAAATAATTTGTGTGTAATTTCAGCATTTTTTTTGTGTCTCACCATGGCAACAGAACAACTTTTATGTTTATTTAGCCAGAATATTATTAAACTGTCCTCACTGTTGTTTATCCTATTTTCTTTTCAAAGGCTGCTCTTTCAATGAGTTTAGTGGCCTTCCTTTTAGAAGTGGAAAATTAACTCTATTGAGTCTATACAAGAGAAAAAATGGATCAAGCAAAAGAAATAGATTTGACTGAACTAGTTCATGTATAGATGGTAATTTCCAATGTTAATTAAAAATAAAATATTTCAAACTTTATTATTAATTTAAAATAATTTGAAAACAATGAAAAATTTAAGATTTCATTACCATTCTGAAAAGTGAATATTCTGTTTATTTCATTATCTTGGTACAATGGGTTTAAATTAATTCCAAGCTTAAAATTTTCTATCATTTTGTTAAATTGCTTACCAATTTGTCATGTTTTTTTTTTCTCTTATTTCTTCTATGCTTACCTTTTTTTCTATATAATTGTAACTATGAATATTGAACATTATTTTCTAGATCTCTCTCTATAAGTAATGCTTCTTATTTTTTTCTTTGGACTATGTAAACTCAGTATTTTGTTTAAAAAAAAATTAAAGAAAAACTTTGAAGTAAGTTTAATAAATAATAATAACTCTAATACTTACAAAATATTAAAATTAATGGCAATTAAATTTTGAAATTAGTAAACTGTATTATCACAAAAAAAGTAATTAAGTATACTGTATTTATAATGTTCTTTCTGGTTTCAACCTTCAACAACTTGATATATATATATATATATATATATATAACTGCTGTTGACTCATTAGATAAGTATAACCATTGCTGAAAAGCTAAATCTGTGGTTATGTTTTTGAATTCAGAGAGCCCAGTCTGTTCAGCTATTTAACACGCAGAGTTGGGGAAAAAGATGGATTTTTATCTTTCCCAAGGGTTTTTGTGCATAAGTGAATGTAACAAACTCAATTGGCATTTGAATTTAGCTCTTCGATTTTTCGTTCTGATCTGCTGTATATTACGCCATCTGCAGCAGCCATCAAATAGATGTTAAGATGTCAGCAGCTGACTGTACTGAGATTATTGTCAGTTACAGCTTGCAATATATATATGTATATATAATTTATTTGAAAATCATAACAAATATGTTATTAAAATCACTACAAAAATAGCCATTTTGTTTCAACACTGCTGGTGTCTTATCAAGTGATGGTGTTGAATGTAGAATAAAGAATTTTAAAAAGGTTCAACAAACACCCCTCAATAAGGGAAACGCTGTTACATAAGCTGCAATGACCAATAAAAATACAAGTATATGAGAATTCAAAAAACTTGACAACAAACCTTGATTATAATAATTAATGCCTTAATCTTAGGGTTAGACTAAAATAGAAATCAGTCTAATTAATTAATATTAAATTTTACTATACAAGTGAAAATTAAAAATGACCAATTTTAAATTTTAAATTTATATATAATAATGAGTACAGACAATCCTTAAAAATTTATTCAGTTGTAATTTATTTCATGAATATACAAATATTCATCTTTTCAGACTGAAGTTTTTTAATAAATGTTATCAATTTATCCAGTTGAAAGGAAAAGGGAGAGGAAAATACAAAAGGAAAAAGTTTTAATATTAAAAGAGGCAGAAAAATTTCAATATAAGGTTCTAAAGGATTGGGGAGGGTAGAGAGAAAGAGTGACAGGGAGGAAAGAGTGAGAGAAGGAGGTAAAGGAAAGAAGGAAGAATTAAACATGAGCCAATAGGGTGACCTAGAAATGATTTTTTTTTAAGGACTGAACAAATTAAAATACAGAGCGAAGGAGGAAAATGATCAGATTCAAAATAGATACATTGAATTGTCTGATCTTCATGTCATTTTCGACAGTGAAACAATCATCATCACATTACAATCATCACAATTTCAAATTGATGATAATAATTGACATCAATAAAATAAAATAACTTAAAGTAAAATAAAGTAAGTTAAATAAAAATTGAAAAATAAATATAAAAATTGCTCTGTTACTTACATTGAGCTCTCTTTTGGATTACTGTCCTCCTTGGAATTATCCCTATTATCAATTATATATATATATATATATATATATATATATATATATATATATAAGAGCTGGCCACTTGTATTCGAGGATACCATTTACTAGGATGGATGGCCAATCCCTATTATCGACTCTCACTCAGGCACATTTGTGTTTGTTCAACACCCACAGAGCCAACCTGTGTTTTATACTGCAACTCTTCTGAGCAGACCTTAGTTACAGTTTCTGGGAGAGAGCATGTTATCTAGAATGATCAACAATCTGTACAACACCAGAACACTCAAATTCTCGGTCACAATGACTTGAGTATTTGTGCTAGCACAACTATCAGTGGCCCCAAGTTAATTCACCCCAGTTCTGCCCAGGTTGAAAATTGAAAGAAATGCTAGAATGTGTATACAGGTATACCTCACCCTACGTTGTTAATTGGTTCATGACTTAGGTCGAAATAAGCACACTATAAACTGCAAATAAGCACTACCCATTGCATATTACAGTATTTATGATATGCACATAGGGTATTCTGAATAAAATAATTTATCAGTGATATAGCCTTACAATATAACCTTAAAAATTACTAAATAAGACGACAAGATAGTCAAAGAAGTTTTCATATTTCATTCTCTAGGATTTATGATGATTATATTAACATTTACTGTAAATATACATATTTTGATATGATTTTATATACTTTTATCCTTATTTATAGTACAGTAACATGATTTTATATGATTTTAATGCTTTTCTAGTGATATTACGCCTTCATTATTTGTGTCGGACATATGTAAATTCGGATAAAATGACTTAAACTTGATTTTGATTTTTCCAAATATTTTTTTGACAAACACCATATGACTTAACGTATAACTTAACTTAAAATGACGTAACCTGAGGTATAACTGTATATGACCCCAATTAGAATATTTTTAAAGTAAAAGAATTGGGAATATTACCATAATTTTTCTTCCTTTTTTTTTTTCTTTTGAAGTGGCTATATATTTTCCAGACAGATTGTATAGATCAAGTAGTAAAACTTGATAAAAAATGATTAGGGTTGTAATAATTATTGCATATCAGTTTAGATCCTTGTATGTCTTATTACTGTCTGTATACATGAGGTTTGCGTGTATACACGCACAAAATAACATTTTTGTTTTATTTCCCCATTAACTTTTCTGTTTTGCACTTTGCAATTTTTCATAACGGTTCCAAGATTTTATGTGCATTAAAAATCTCTTTTAAAAGAATTTGAAATAGATTACTCTTATATATGTAAGAAGAATATATACAAATAATGTATATTTGGACAGCAATTTTTTTTTTTTTTTTTTTTGTTCCTGAGGATACTCAGAGATTGGTTTAAAGTTCTAGAACTGATAAGATGTATGAACAATGCATAGTCTCATACCAACTAATTGTCTCCTTATACAAAAACAAGAGAAACTATGTAAAAAAAAATTAACAAAGTATTCTTTGTTGCATTCAATAACAATTATCTAGTAAAAAAATTTCTACATTATTCAGAATTCATAATATGACAACTAACAAGGAAAAATACCACTAGATTTCAGTAAAAAAAAAATCATAGAACAGCAAATAACATCAGCTAATAAAAAGATTAACCAACTCAATGTCAAAATCGAAAAACTTAAAACCTTGAATGTTAGCAAGACTGAAAAAAAAACTACATCTGAATCCTACAGAAACACCAGTGTGATGTTAGTTTGAGTTTATCATTTCGTAATTTTTTTTTTTTTTTTTTTTTTTTTTTTTTTTTTTTTGTTTTACAAAAGTATTTAGGGATCTAATACTCACTGTGACTCATTGAAGCTCTATAGTTTTTTTTTATTTTTTATTTTGTGTTTTCTTAGCTGAGTCACCTAATACTTGTGCATTTAAATATGTATCTGATCTACCAACAAATGTAACTTGCTAACTTTCCTGAGTATTTGGTATTATCAGAGAAACTGAATATCTCTTCAATTTACTGATATGTTTAATTGTTACTGAATTAATTTTTAGACTTTCTGCTATTAGTTGAATGAATTAAGTTTATAAATACAGAGGAAGCTATTGTGACCACTTTTAAATGACAGAGTCCTTTTAGATAAAGGATAGAAACATTACATCAATTTACATTCTTTGTGATAAACAACTTTACATTATAAAAAAAAGATCTGGAACTTTAATTATAATAAGCAGATAAGTTTTGACTCATTTTAAATCAGATATTTGGGATTGATTTTGATAATCTAATTATTATTCATGATTATAATTAAGTTTTCTCTGTATCTGAACAGAAAGAATATTGATAAATGTATTTTTTATAACATAAAGGATTTAATATTTGTGATGAGTTTGCTTTGATTCTATTATGTTGATGACAATGAATGTCTTTGATCCCCCCATCTTGTGAATATTGAAAGTATAGTCTTCCTGTTTTATGTCTGTTGAAAACTTTAGTTTCCAGTGAATTATAGAATTTATAGCAGACTTGAACTTTTGTGCTTGCAAAAAAAAACAACAAAACAGTGTGTCAAAAGGACAGCTTTTCCATTGACATTACTTTTTAAAACAAACAATGGCAATGTTTGTTTTAAAAAGTGATGATTAGAATTGTAATAAAACCTAAACATATGATGAAAGTAAATTTATATATTTGTTTTTTGTTCTTATGAATTTACAACAAAAATATTAAACACTATTTATTAGAGTGTTTATTTACAAGAATAATTCTATATTTATAACAATCTAAAAATTAATACATTTAAAACTAATGCAATGCAATATTTATCAGTTCATAAAGAAATAAATATGAAAACAATTTTTTATTGATAAATTTATAAACATTTACTAAATTATTAAAATATGTGAACCTACTATAAGTAAATCCTTATTATTTACCATTTTATAAAGTTCAAATCTATTGGCAATTAGCCGATGTTTTGTCAACCATTCCAATAAACAATCTAATAAATAAATAGTTTATTATTTTTGGTGTCTATTCTCAAGAATAAAGAAATGTATAAATTTACTGTCATATATTTAAGTTTTATTACAATTCTAATAACCACTTTTTAAAACAATAAATATTGCCAAGGAGTGAAGGTAGTTAAAATAATAATGGTGTCAGTGTAAAAAAAAAACATCCTTTTGACATTCTGTTTTTTTGCAGGCATGAATGTCCAAGTTTTTCCAAATTTATATTGTGAAATATCATTGATATTTAAGTTTATTCAGATTAACTTTTGCCTTAAATCCAAATAGAAAACAATTTTCCAAGGATCTTTTAATATATTGTTTTATGCTAAATGTTATTCCTTCATAAGATAAACATACATTTCAATTAAATTGCAATCCATTAAAGAAATACTATGAAAGTTGCTCAAATTTATCCCTATTTGTATTCTCATAATCATTTTTATTAATATCATAATTTGCAACTCATTTCAAATCCATCCAACTTCCTCTAATGTTTTTTATATTCTTCATCTTTATTATTTAAATTCTTCTTCATCAAAATCCTTTCTTTTTTGCAAACATTAAAGGAACTTTGATATGGATTAATTAACATGTTAAATTGTTTTTATTTGGTGCAATGTGTCACCTTTTGAAAATCCTTAACCCAATCATTATTATGTTGTAAAATATGTGCAGTATTGATTTTCAAAGACTTATATAGACATTTTAATTTTTTACAGGACCCTATTCAGAAACCTATGTTAAGGACCAATGACAAGGCTGTGAAAAGAGAGGCATGTGAAGTCTTCAAACATATCCTTTATTGCATACTTGAGCTTGCATTCACCTTTAATATTTAAACATTACAAAATGAAATTTTTTTTTTTTCAGTCAAGATTTCTGCATAACCATAATTCATTTGCAGAATACTTTTTTATATATTTTCTGTTGCCGTTTAATTATAACAATTCATTTTAAGAACTTCTATTTGCTGAATTCCCTGCAATTTAAGGCAAATTTCCTGTTATTTAAGGCAAATAGTCCAAAAGTTACCTTCTGCCTTGATGGTTAGATTTAGCTAGACCACTAGACTAACAACTTGGTACTAAATCAGGAGTCCTCAAAATGGTTGATGTCACACCTTCCCCAAAGGTGGGGGAGGTCAATAAGACAATTTAAGGGTCAATTAGAATTGTTGATACAGAACAATATCAACAACTGCAATATTTGGTAGACTTTTAATAGATGGCAATGAAATTGCAACAATTAATATTTGTCTTTGTCAAAAAATTCACTTTGGAAGACAATTATCCTTTCAGATAATATGTGATCATGGCTCTCCACACCTTTCTGTCATTTGTTGCTCTAAGTGACTTTTGTTCCTTTAGTATCCCTTTTTGTCTTTGTTCTGCCATCCACTCACTCAAACTCGTTAATTAGGTTACTCACTGTTTCCCTCCACTTCTCTTACATTTAATATATCCTGTGTGTATTAAATTCTCCAGGCTTTCTTTCCTCATCATGTCTGAAAAATTTCAACTTTCTCTTTCTAATCCTAAGTATCAGTTACCTTGTAGTCCCTCCATTCATTAAAATGTATTAATTTTTCACATGCCCTGTCCATGGGATTCTCTGTATTCATTGGTAGAATCACATCTGCATCTCTTTAAGTCTCTTCTTCATTTTTTGGAGAGATTTCACTTCCATATAGGAGATTAAATATTACATAGCATTTCATCATTCCTTGTTTCTAAGGACATTGCTTGATCTCACATTACTTTACCCAGTTTCTGAAAGCATCTTTTGTTAGTTCTATACAACTTTGAATTTTTGTGTTACATTTTCTCATCTGTCCCTAGACTGTCTACTACACTTAAAATTTCTGCACTTGCTTGACATCTCCAGTATGTAGCTCATACTGTAGCTCATACTGTGAGCCATCTCTTTAGCTTACAACCATACATTCTGTCTCCTTATAGTTAAAGGCTAGTCTGTTCAGATTTGTCTACCCAGGTTTTAGTTGCTATCTGTTGGGATTCCTAACATTTAACAACAGCAGCAACACACTTTTTAAATTAAACATATAAAAGGATATTTTCTGAAGAAAAAGTCGAAGCAGACTGTCAATCGAAATAATAAAATTTATATATTCTTTTCAGAGATATACAATAGCAATAAAATGTTCAATTTTCCTTGCAGTGATGTTTCTTTTATAAAGTGTTCTTATTGAAGTGTGAACAGACTTTATGAAAGCTTAATGTTTTGTGAGTTCGTAAACATGGATGTAGTAGGTGGTTGCTGGGTAATTTTTTCTGTTGTGCTGTGGACAAGGTTTTACTTGATGGCTGCTGGCTGTTCTTCTATTGTGCATGTGTGTAAACATGTGTAGATCAAACTGGCCTACAAAATTGTTGTGAGCCTCAAGAAGTATGCTTCTATTTTTATATCCATAAAAGGATTCAAAATCTAATTTCACATAGAGGTATGAACTTCTTGAATACAAGGCTTTCATTGGTTGGAAAATAATTTCACACTGGTTCACGAAAATCTTTTTTTCAAATCTGCAGGAATGGTGAATGGAGTTATTATTGTTATTTTCTAAATGGTCCAAAAATAACACATGGTAGCTTTTCAACTACATCTGCAAGTATTTTGGCAGTATTTACCCTTGTAATGATTGTCTGTCAAATAAACCTGATGGAATTTTATTGGTTGAAAAAAAAAATATATATATATATTGTAGTAGTGAACGAGATAATCAAGTACCCCGGAAAAAAGTTAAGTTTGTTTTGTGCGATCTGCGGGGAGGGATTGCCAAAAAGAAAAGTAGTCAGCAAAACTCTTATAGCGACTTACCTCGTCAACCCAAGCGAAAAAAGAAACAAGTTAAATCGCAGGAGTCGCTATAAGAGTGTATTAATATGCAAATTACGGAGCATCCTATCCCGGCTGTCGATTTAATGGAAAAAAATAGGTTCTGCCGATAAAAGCAGTTGGTGTTGTCGACTCGAGAGGAAAAAATTCGGGCAGTTTTGGCTACGGCGTTCGTGAGTTATTTTCCTGACGTGTTACAAGTGATTCTCTTTCTTTGTGTTGTGAAAGCCACAAATTTGCTTTGAGAACGCTTACGCTTCAAGCTATTGCCTTGTTCTGCTGTGATCTGACCAGCTGTATGTCTCTGGGATAAGTGGTATTCACTTACCAACTTTCCCAGTGTGTCTAGCCTCCTTCAATGAGCATCTCGCTCGCAGCCTTTGTATGTATCCTAGCCTTCCCGTAAGAGTGTCTGCTATCCACTTATACACGCATGCGGGAATCCGTGAATAAATGCAATACCTTTGCATTCCATTGAAGGCGCGGTGACTCCCCTGATAACGGCGTCTAATTCTGACAGGTTGATATGTTGCGTATCCTTCTCGGGACGCAACCAACACGCATCTTCCACGACAGTGTCACCTACTTCAAGAGACACTCCTGTTGCAAGGGAGCTCGCGTCGACCCAGACGTTATTTCTTCGCGTTGATAGCGGCAGTCTCTGGCAAAATGATTCAGCCCAGAGCACCGATAGCAGGTGGCAACGCCATGGTGACGAATGGCTGGGGTCGGACCTTCTTTGACTTCAATTGGTTGAATAACTGCGGCCACTGGTTCATCAGCCTCTTTTTCGTCGATCATGACAGCACGGGCTCTGGTCAACAATTGATTGAGCGTCAGGTCTTCCATTCTGGATGATGCGCGGAGTATCTGCTTAACATGACTGGGCAATCCAGAAACGAAGGCACATGTCATCCATTCTTCAGGAAGCGGTGCGATTGGAACGGCGAGCTTCTTTAATTCTGCCAAATATCGTCTACTGTCTCGCCAGATCGCAGACGCCGTGCCTGGAATTGGTCGTAGGCCACGGGCCGGTCAGTTCCAAACGCGGTTAGTAGAGCGTGCTTTATTTGCTCAATGTCGCTTTTTCTGTTCTTTACTCAGCTGCCTATACACAGCAAGGGCACCGCCATTCAATCGCAGAGGAAGAATCCGATCAATCTTCGATATCTCGCATAATTCGCAGACCAGTTCCACCTTTTCGATCCATTCAACCACAGACTGTCCTTTTTGCCATTGCACAGGTGCTGGGTCGATGGACTGACACTCCTTGCATTCTCTGACCACTGCCCTGACAGCAGCTTTGGATAACGGAGGGATCAATCTGCCTCCACGAAATATAAGGTCCGTTTTACACGGGATGTCCGCTTTGGCAATGCACAGATTTTAGTAAATCTGAGTTATAGTTGCTCGTTGATGTTACACAGACATGTTCTACCGGGCTCTACCTCTTTCTTAATAGCGAAAACACGCTGCGTCCGGGTCATGTGTTTGGGAATGTCCGGGAGCTCGCTTCCACGCGTTTCCAGTAAAGCATGTTGTGCTCCCCACAGACCTGCAAGCCCGAGCACCCGAGCACCATCCTCCAGTCGTTCTGGGTTTTTACATTCGAGCCCAAAGTCAGCAAGATGCTTTCTCACCTGTGAAGCGGGTACTAAGGTTTCGTTGATGTAGATGTCGTCAATGTAGGCTGACGTAAAGCTGATTTAATTGTCTCATCCTGGGATAGCACAGCATCCACGATGGCTTTCATGATGGCGGCGCCACATTGAGTCCGAATCCCATTCGGGTTAAGCAGTACCTCGTCCCATTAAGAATCACCGTCTGAAATGGCCACAGTGACCGGTGCACGCAGCATACCTGCAAGTAGGCCTTTCGAAGGTCAATCACAGAGACATTGGATCCCTTCGTTCGCCATTCTCTCAATTTTTGTGCACACACATCAGCATGAGCTGTGTATGTGTCTACATGTTCGTTCTAATGGGTGATGTCCATTCCAACACGGTGCCACACCTTGCTTACACTCAGTGTGTTGGTCGTGGACAGCGCGTTATTAGGTTTCGATCTGCTCCTTGGGATGGACATTATTAAGGAGCTGGGCGGCGTACGCATTACAGAGGCAGGCGAAGTCAAGTTTTCTGATCCGCCCATCTGTGCTACTTTGAAGATCAACGAGCCCGACTTTAGCGCAGAGTTCGACCAAAGGGCGAAGACATGGACAGCATTTTGAAATGGTCGGAAAATAACCCACCAGAAAAGCTCCAGAACCGAGTGTCAGAATATTCGGTGCCCGAACGCGTCAGGAAAGAATACCAGCCTTGAATTGCAGGTGTGGCTGGATAACGGATGGCTGACTCCATATCCCGAGGAAGAGCTTGGTCCTCCAAGAGGCCTCATCCCGTTGATGGCCGTGGTACAAAAGAACAAGGGAAAGGTGCGCCCTGTACTAGATTATAGAGAACTGGACGAACTTGTTTCTTTTTCGCTTGGGTTGACGAGGTAAGTCGCTATAAGAGTTTTGCTGACTACTTTTCTTTTTGGCAATCCCCCCGCAGATCGCACACAAAACACGAACTTTTTCCGGGGTACTTGATTATCTCGTTCACTACACTCCCCCCTGTCACATAAGTGACACTCATGGGCGGGCCTCTTTATTCTTAAGCTTCTCCGGAGCGGGGCAACTGTGGGAGGAGATTGTGTGTTATGTTCTGAGGTTTCTTCTGATCTGACAACCTCATATAGGATTTAATTCCTATGTCTTTTTTTACTTTTCTTTATTCCTTTGTCTAAGAGTTCTTTCAGTTTTCTTTCTTAGTTTTGTCATCAACACTGTCATCTACATATCTTACATTGCCCACCAATAATAAATCCTGGTAGATGTTCTAGTTCTCTTAAAATTGTCTATCTTTATTGGTTTAATAAATCTAGTAAGAAGACATATCCTTCCTTTACTCTTTTGATTTTGCAGATTCATTGAACTCATTCTCTATCTACATGTAGGTTGTTTGTTGCAAACAGAGCTTACAAATTACTCAAATGTCTTTCCTGCATAAATAAAGCTTTACTAGTATTTCAAGTAGCTCATTATCAAATGGCTTTGTGTTTACTTTCACCTTAAAAGAAGAAACTCTACACTAGAGAATATCTTTCATTTTAAAGTGAGATTTATTGTTTTACTATATATGTATATATACATACATACATATTTCATTGAATAATATAAACATATTGTGTCTACTTATTTTTATACTGATCCTTTCCAGTTGTCTAATCAGTTTCTTGATATTAAGATGAAATTCATCTTAATATCAAAGCAATGTAGTTTTTGTCAACCCAAGTACTTTTGATCTTTTCCAAGATCATCTTTAGTGGTAAATTACAAAGACAAACTTATTTTAGCTCTGATAAAATCTGCATTCCATACTGATGGTGATTTTTAAAAACACACATGAGGAATTCCTTGATGAATTTCATCTTAATATCAACAAACTGATTAGACAACTGGAAAGGATCAGTATAAAAATAAGTAGACACAGTATGTCTATTTTATTCAATGAAACATGTTTGAATGAAGATATGCTACCTTAAATATATATATATTTATATATATATGCACGCGTGTGTGTGTATGTATGTAAAATGTGTGTTTGTGTGTGTGTGTGTGTGTATATATATATATATATATATATATATAATCAATCCAACTAAATATATAAGCTTTTGCTTGTATTTTGAAATGTAAAAATAATTTGTGTTCATTGTTGCTTGTTGACTCAGTTGATTTAAGTTTAGCTACAAATCCATCAAGGAAGTGTCAACGGTATTCACTCGAATTTTTGAAACTTGTATTTATGTCTACACTTTCAAATAAAACTATGATTATGCATCTATGTAGAAGGGTATTTAGTAAAGATGCTATGAAAGCCACAAAGATGAAAGACCACTTCCAAAGAATTCATTCTAATGATAAAAAGATGTTTTAAAGTTATTTGAAAGAAAAAGTATTAATTCTAAAGCACCCCCACAGACTAATTATAAAAAGGGGGCTAAGAGCCTCATCCAATATTTCTCTGAATATAGCAGGAAAAGGAGAGAGCCATATACTATTGCAGAAGAGATTATAATATTGTTGATTAAAGAAGTGATTGAAATTGTAATGAAAAAACATTCTGGTCTTGTTTTAAAATGCTAGCCTTTAAGTGCAAATACAGTACAAAGATGTATTGATAAAATGGCTGAAGATGAAAAAAACCTCTTTCATGTCTGGGCTTAGTAAGTAAGTTTTCCATTGAACTTGAGGACTCAACTTTTGATAGTTCAAATATTATGAGAATTTTTAATTGAACTCCAAATCAAATTCTCAACAAATTTTTGTTTGCAAATAATCTTAAATACAACATGCAACACAAAAGGGGCAACAATTTTTTTGAATATTTGGAGGAATATTTAAACGTACACAAGATTTAATTTAGAACTATAACTGTAGCAGCCATTGTTCAATTGTTAGCTATTGTAGACGATTTTCCTACTTTGCTTGAGGAAATGTTTCCCAATTTGTGCACTATTTACTGTTTTATGAAACACCATCTTATGACAAATTGTATAATGCTCTACAAATTGGTAAATAAAATTAAAACACATCTATTTAATTCATGACTGTTTAGGAAGCTGCGAGAAAATGATGAAATGGTAAACCAATTAGCAGTTACATACGGAAGTAGGTTCACTGTTAGAAGTTGTTAGCTTGCAATAGCTTGTTGAATTGTATGACTCAACAATTGAGTTTCTTACAAGTGTGGATTTCATTCTGATGATTTGAATAAAGAATAAAAGCCATCTTTTTTTCATGGTAGACCTATATCCCAAACAGACTTGTTCAGCACCAAAGTCTTTTTATATGGTCATTGCTAGAAAGAGATTTCCAACACTTCTCCAACTTATAGGAGCTGGAAAATGAAAATCAAATAATGTTTATAACAACTTTAATATTTCATGTATGACATTTTGATAACGTTTATATGTTTACATAGGGATTTTGTTTTGTAACAGTGATTTCTAACATCTAGAATTTTCAGTGGTCTGGCAGTCAGACTGTATATGTTTATACTGGTTTGGAAATACTACTAAACACTAAATAGTTTATAACACAAACACTAGGAACCAAATTTTCATGGTGTCTTGAAAATATATATATATATATATATATATATATATATATATATAAAAAGAGTCCACGTATGCTTCATATAGTTTATAAAGTAGAGTAGATGTTGTTTATTTCTCACATACACTGATGAAGAACAAAGGCATGTTCAAAAATTCTGAACTTGGAACCTCAATTTTTGTCCTTCATTTTTGTCACCTGGTTAATATTAATAAATGTTTTTCGTACTGATTTCAGCGGTACCATTTCATTTGACTTTGTTTTATTGACTAACTTATCTATTCTAGATATATATATATAGGGAAGAGGTTATAGTAGTTCCAACGAAAGAAAAGTGTGTATATTAAAAAGAAGAGAGAAACCGCAAACGTTGTAATTAGAAAGACATTTGGATCACTAACACACTAAAATGAGAATGTCTCATATCAAGAATATTTAACATCAAAAAACATAAGAAAATAATTATTTATTTTTAATAACATATGGAAATCTCCATGCTTTGCCTGATGAAGGTCACGAGACTGGAAACCCGTGTAGCAAAATTATGGAAAATAAAGCATAATATTTAAAAAAAAAAAATCCACATTACAACCAAAAACATTTGTGATTTCTCTCTTCTTTTATATATATATATATATATATATATGCCAACAGCTGGCATTGTAAGTTTCATAAAGATGTATAACTATGTCTACAGATGTGGATATGCTAATAATAGCCAAAAAAGAAGAAATACAATCTAACAATTCTTCTTTCACTATTTAAACAGAGATTTCCCTAGTTAAAATGTCCGTAAACCATGTGACTAAATGTTCTGTTGAGTCTTGGGATGACAAACCAACTTTTAAATAAAGAATTTTAAGTCTAGTACTAGATTGGCAGCTAGGTCTCCTCATTCTGTTGTTAGAATTAAGTGGAACTGTAAGTTCTATTCTAATAGAGATGAATGATCATGGCAGCTTACATAGAATATAATCCATGAAATTATCTAAGCTTTATGATTTGAAAGACTGGATACTTTTATAATGATTATAATTTAGATTGGATTTCTATTACTGTTATATTATGAAAACATGGGATATTTTCTTAACAGCAAAACAATAAGATCAGGATGAGATTTTATAAAAATGAATGCATTTCTTTTGTAAACATCTCATCTTGTTTCCTTGTGTTTTTGTTTTTTTCCCCCCCAAGTATGTATGCTTCCTTAATATTTATCACTTATCCAGATGTATATGGGTGACAGGAAACCTAAATCAAGTCCACTTCATGTGGCTCTGGAGATAACAGTGAAAGGCTGGACTATGCCATCTCTGAGAGATGAAATTTTTATTCAATTGTGCAGACAGACCACAGAGAACCGGAAAGAGTAAGTACCATTTGTAATAAGGTTTGTAAATTCTCCTTTTTATAACACAAACACACCTCTTCCTACTATAGTAAAATAAGGCCCATCCTCATATTTTATTAACAACTCTGCTTCCACATGTGTTTGGTTATTATCAAGCTAAAGGATAATAAAATAATACCCCCACCCAACCTAGTCAGATTGGTGATCAGATATGGATCTTTTTTTTCTTTTTTTTTTTTTTTTTTTTTTTTTTTTTTTTTTTTTTTTTTTTTACCTTGTTTTGTTTTTTTACTTTTTTAACTTTTTCTTATTCTCCTTTCTTTTTTTCTGTTTTTTAGTCTTTGGTCTTTTCTTTTTTCATCTTTTCTTTTTTCGTCTTTTCTTTTTTTTGTCTTTTCTTTTTTTGTCTTTTCTTTTTTCGTTTTTTTCATTTTTCTTTTTTTCTTTGTTCCTAATCTGCACTTCACTTTCTATTTGGATGTGAAATTAAATGCAGTTCTTTGCAAAAACTTTAGTCAAAAAAACATCTCACAACTAATAAAAAAATCTCACATAAAATTAAATGTTCAACATTTAACATTTACTATTAATTTTATTTATTTACTGTAAATGCTCTATCTTTTGATATTGAGCAGTTTAATGTGGTATTTTCCATATGTATAGTTAGACTTTTTTTGTTTTTTAAATTAAATACAAAGCAATTATGAAGGGATGCTGAAAAGTGCAAAAATTTCTTAATCTAACCAGTTTTCTAAAATCAAGCCAAATGACTAAAGATCAATTTTTTTTTTCTTGATGGGCTGCTTGATCAGGCAACAACTTTTCAGTACCTCCTTGTAGTTAGAAAAAGTTACCATATAATCCAATTAGCCATTTCTCTCTTCATAGTCCAGCTTAGTTTTTTTTTATTACTTTTTAATAAAAGTACATAACAGACCTAATTTTCTGTCATTTACAAAATCATTTTTAACATGCCAAGTGATTAATCCATAATTTTTAAAACAAATCAAAAACAAAAGAAGGAATCATAATTAACAAAATGCTTTCTTAAATTATTTTGTTCCAAATATCAAAATTATTATTACAACATGGCCCATATAGCTATCAATATATTAAAAGTTCTATTTTTATATATTTTTATTTTTTTTATTTTCATGATTTGTCATCTTTTAGCACAAGCTTGCAAAGAGGCTGGGAATTGTTGGCGATCTGTTTGTCATTCTTCCCACCATCACTCAAGTTCTACTCCTACCTTGAGGGTTACATTTCCCGCCACCTGGACCCGAGCTGTGATCTCAATGATGTAAGTACCACTTAGATTATGCACAGACCTCATATGCTGTAGACTCCACATTTTATGTCAATAATTATTACTCTTTAATTATTAGCAATCTTAAAAGAAAAAAAAAAAAAATTTAAATGTTTTACTTGAACTTCAGTTTCTTTGTAGTGTATGCATAGATTTTAACTTTTCATTAGGCAGTCAGTTTGGAGCCTCAGTAAATATTGCTTTCCACTTGTATTGGTTCCTGCTATATTGTGAATATCAGAATTACATTTTTGGCAGCACTAGTTCAATGTCTGAGACTTAACGAGCATAAAAAGGAAATGTCAGTATATTAGTATGATAATATATATATTAGTATAATTAAGTTTTTATTGTCAATAATCTTTTTAATCAGTTTAAATAGATAAAAATAAACTTTTGTAAAGTGCTAGGCTTTTGGTAATTCTTAAAATCAAATTTGGAAATTTTACAATAAAAAAAAAAATTCATGATCTTTTTTTCATCAAAAATTTTGTTTAGTTTGTATTTGTTACATAGTTTATATTAAGTCATTATAGAAACCAAATATACCATGTGATACAGTCAAATGGCCATGATCTGTGTGTATATCTGTTTATCCAGTTATCTCTTTGGCAATATTAATTTAAAAAAAAAGGTTTATTGAAATGATGTTAATTGTTGTTTGCCATCCTTCCAAGCATTTATGTTTGATCTGACCAGATTTTCTGTCTACTCTAAAAGAATAAACAATACAGGCCTTTATATATTTGTTCTTATATAAACCAGAAACTAATCAATGAAACTCTTTTTCATATAGAATCCATATTTAGAGAGCTTTTAGTAAAAATGAACAACTGGAATTTCTGAGTCTTACTGGTCATGAGATTCATTATGCAGTAACAATGCCTGTCTGCTCTGGAGATGGAAATTTCCATTCTCTAAATGAATTCTCTAAATCTCTGAATTTGATGATTTTTCAATTATTTTCTTCTCACAATTTAGGTTCTGCTTTATCAGGTAGAATTACTATGTTTTAGATCTATGACCACCTTCTAATTAAATACTTTTGTTGCTCCATATTTTCACTTTTACTCCTATTTTTATGTAATTTTCAATTTGCATATGTTGATGTCAATAATATATGAAGACCTTATGACTGCCTGTAAATGGAAGTGTGGAAATTCCTTTCCAGATGTAAATACACTTCACAATCAAGAGCTAATATCTTGATCTTCTCTCAGTTTCTTTTCTTGTTATTGATATTTCTTAATTACTTAAATTAACTGGTATGCTTGTATAAAAAAAAAACATTTGTGGGCAAACAATTTTTGTAAATGAGCACTCATTAGACCTTCTTCTCTACACATTTGTCAAAATCAAAAAAAACAAATTTTTACATATTAGCTTGCTGCCAATCTAATATGAAAATATGTTGATAATATAAATACAGTGTGAAATCAATCTCTGACTTCTTAGAGTTATCTGTATTTCTATTTACAAATAATAAGTTTGAAACTGCTTAAGTCATTGATAACTGCATACTATTATGAATTGGGGAGAAGGACAACATCAGTAGTCTGTAGTTATTAATGAATTAAAGCACAGTTTCAAACTTGACATTTGTAAATAAAAGCACAGTACAGGTGAATGTTTAAGATCTCACAAATTGATTTGACATATATATATATAAATATAAAAGTGAACATAGAAGTCAACACTTAGAGGCGACAGTCTGTTTCATGCTATATGCAATCGTCAGGCCACTGGCCTGACGATTGCATATAGCATGAAACAGACTGTGTTGACTTCTATGTTCACTTTTATATTTACACACGCTCTATCTCTGATATTGAGCACTTTATCCCATAAATATAGCACACCTTAAGACTATATTTCTTTATATATATATATATATAATATTCATAAGAACAAGATCATTCCACCTGTAAAAGGATAAAAAAATCAATATTATTTGATTCTATAAAATGTTGTGCATAAAGGGAAGTCTAATGAATGCTAATTGACAAAAATTGTTAAAAGAAAATTCTTACCTATTTTTTTATGAGTGGACCAATTAATTTAAGTAGTGCCATATTTTTTTTTATCAACTCTAAGTAGAAGATATATTTTCCATGTGCTTAAATTGTAGATAAGCATTAATATTTATTATGTAAACTTAGACAAGAGAGAGAGACCATTATGTGGCTATAAGCACTGAGGCACTAAACTTATCATTAGTAAAATAACTATTAGTCTTAGTTACTTCTTATTCTCCTTTTTCTAGATTTTGAAATTTATTTAGATTAGTGTTATTAATTTTTTATTATTGCATCTTGATCTTTGTGTTTTGTTGTTGTCTTTTTATTTTTTTTTTATCTGTTTCTTTTCCACTTGTTCCTTTTTTTTTTCTTTTTTTTTAATCAACTTATTCACCAGCATCATGAGTTTGATTTCTTTGTCAATCCATTCCTCCCATGTCCCTTTTATTGTCTTCTGTTTTCACATATTACACATTTCCCTTTTCTTGTAGTCACTCCACAACAAAGGTTCTTTTAGTTTTTTGTTTGTTCATTCTTTCTTTCCGCATTGGTCTCTTCATTTTGATTGTTTGCCTTTTAAAGTCTTCATGTCTTATAAAGTTGTTGATGCTTTGTTTATTTTGTCTAAAGTTTTTAAGAGATCTGTTAATTCTAATATGCTTCAGTGCATGGTATTGTGTACTGACACCCATGTTTAAGGTTTAAAAAGAAAAAGGTCTTTAAATCTTGAAGTCTAAAATCAAATTAGAACCTTCAAATTTCACATACAACTTGTCCATGTCATACGTATTTTTGCTGTTGTTCATAACCAATAAAGTTTTTCCAATCTTTTTATGTAATTGGTATGAAACAACACATTGCCTTAACTAGATACAATTTGTCCATTAAGAACATCTTTTGTTAACTATTAAAGTTTTAGTCTAAGGCCAGCACTATTTTCTACAACAGTAGTTCTGTCCTGAGAAATTTTCTCCAGATAAAGTAATTTTTCTCAAGTGTGCAGAAGCTGTTTCAAATCACCGGTTTCCTACTTCATATGTGATATTAGTCATAGAAAAAAAAATGTCTGTTACTCTGGTTTTTTGCTCTGAATTCTCTTCGTCTCATGTCCATATTATTCTGATCTCCACTGGTTATCATTTCATGGCCGAAACCTTCAGGCAACAGCAACACGTTGGAGTTCATGTGTGTCCGAGGTAAGTGTCAGACACTGCTGGAACCCCTTGTTAAAATCACCAAGCAAACATCCTTTTGCAATTTTTTTTTTTTTTTAATTTTTTTAAAAGTGTATGCTAAACAAATTCTTACTTTATTTCTGCTTTCTTTCATTTTTATATATATTCTCGCAAATTTTAATTTTGGTTATTAATATCATTTAGTTATATCTTTATTTTAATGCTTTGTTTTTTAAAAATAAATACTTACTCTCTAGTTTCTTTTTCCCCACCCACTTTATTGTGTTTTTGTATATGTTTTCCTTAACTTTTATTGTGACCAAACCGAATTTGGTTAGGTAGATACTGTTTTAAACCACTTTCTCAATTTCAATTCGAACCTGTTAATATTTTTAATTATGATCCAATTTGTCTTCAGGTGCCTGTGAGTCATTTCGCTAGTCATTGTCAGCGGCGTTTAGAAAGAGCTCTGCAGACTGGCGCCAAAAAGGGGGTACGAAAACCAGCAATTGAAGAAATTGAGCAATCTAAGGTAACAATTTCTTATCATTTATAAACTGTGCAGCTGGAAAATATTTTTATTCTGCACATTTTTGTAAACTTTCATTAAAATTCTGAACTTTATTAAAAGCATAATTTTAAAAATTGTTATTTTAAACTTTGCCTTGGGTTTAAATTAATTTCTGTTTTTACAAAATAGTAAAGTTGTTTATTTTATTATTTTTACTTGTGCAAAACAGATCATTATTATTTCCCTGCTATAAACAAATTCCTTCAGTCACAAAGATTATATTCAATATCCAATGCCAAATGAATGTTTATCTCCTTTACTTTTTAAATAACCATCTATGTCATTATACAACATATCACTATTGAATTTAACATCATTTTTATATTTTTTGTGATTACAAAAATTAAAGGAAATTGGCTTAATAAACATAACTGCTCAAATATTCTATGCCTTTATCACTTATTAAAGTTTTGTTTTTTAATTTTATTTACATTTTCTAGTTTTTATGCATGTCTGCATGTTTATTTCTTTTAATTTTTAATTTTTTTTGTAGTTGTCTAAAAAAAACTCAAATGAATTCTCGCAAGCCCCTCCCTCGCAATCGTTAATTGTAGCAGAAACATCAGTTAACTGAACAAAATCAATGCAGGACTTTAATAATATAAAACAGTCATTCATCGCAAATATTCACTCAGGCATACACTCATTCAAACTCAACAACAAATACGAAAATCATACCCAAAACAAAAGGCACCCTGCATTCACTAGAGAACTGACATCACTGACCACCTAATGGGTGAGAGGGAATTAAAGAGGAAAGCTCAAAATAACAATTGTCATGAAAATATCTATAGAGAAGGCAGACAGAAGCTACATTACAGTATTGGAATGCCAGGTCAGGACTGATAATATTGCAGATTCTTCTTTTGATTTTGGCAAGATACATCTCACTCTCTATCTTCATTTTACGTTTGAGAAAATTCTACTATCTCTATTACGTCATCAAGTAGCCATAATAGTTGTGAATCCTAAGGCAAAGACAACAAAATTATTATTGGTTTACTTTCAGTTTCTCCACACTCAATATTTCTGTTCAAGATTTATATACTTTGAGTTTTCACACCAGACCTATCTGATTCCTCCTCTTCTATCTAACTCTCTCTGATAGTCAAATGACAGCAAGTCTCCTCTGTATACAAAGACTATCTTTAATATTTTAGTAATGCTGTCATCTGGATTGTTCCTTTTGATTCCAAGTTCTTCTGTTCATTTTGTAAGACTCTTGAAGATGATTCTAAATTTGTGAGTACAGCTGTCCTTTCACATTCCACAATTTTTACAGTTTTCTGACAAGGTTCGACCACATAGTTGTATCAATAAGTCTATAACCTAACAGTAAAAAAAAAATATTTATTTTATACAGTCTTTTTGACATAATCTCCATTCTTGTCAATACACTTAATTTCTTCTTTTATATGCCATGTCCCTTCAGGATGTAGACGATCATGGCCCTCCACACACTCCAGTCCCTTGTAGCTCTTAATAAGTTTGTCTTTTTGTTATTTCTCCCAGACCCTGTTCTGCCATTCACAAGCCCATTAAGTATATCACATGTTGCTTTTCCTCTGGCCCTCTTTCCCTCTATCTGTCCTATGAGTATCAGATTTTCCAAGTCCTCCTTCCTCATGATGTCCTAAAAATTTCAACTTTCCTCTTTGTTTCTGTTCTCTCCAAAACCATGTCTGGCCCATGATATCCTAAGTATCCTTCTGTAGCTTCAAGTCTCCTCTTCATCTTTGAGGAGATTGCCCAATAATTGCTGCCATACAGATATCACATAACAGTTCAGTACTCTTTTCTTTGTTTCCAACAAAACTTCCCTGTTTCTTAGTACTCTGCTTCGCTTTTGGAATGCATCTTTGGCCATCCCAATACATCATCGAATCTCAGTGTTGCACTTTCCATCCTCTGTTAGAACACTTCACAGATATTTAAATTTCTGTACTTGCTTGATTTTAGTATCCCCGACCTGTAATTTGCATTTTGGGCTCTTCCTTTTGCTTATGAACTTGCATTCTGTCTTTGTGTAGTTTATGCTTAGTCCTTTCCTCTTACTCTCCTTCGTTACCTTCTGTAGGAAGTTTCGTAGTTTCCTATCTGTGTCTGCAATCAGCACTGTGTCATCTGCATATCTTATATTGTTAAGATTGTGGCTGCCAATGATGAATCCTGGTAATATTTCTAGTTCTATCAGAATTGCCTTGCAGTATAGATTGAATAAGTCTGGTGAGAAGACACATCCTTGTCTTACACCCCTTTCTATTTTTGTATATCTGCTGAACTCATTTTTATATCAATATGCAGGCAGTTTGCTACCAGTAGAGGTTTTTAATTATTCTAATGCTTGGTTTGCTGAGCAGCTCTATCAGATCTTTGTGGCATGCTTTGTTGAATACCTTTGCATATTTTCATAGTCTATAAAACACAGGTACACATCTTTCTGCATTTGTATTCTCTTTCTGATAACATTCTGAGCATAAATATCACATTCCTTGTTCTGATGTCTTTGACGAACCTGCACTGTTCTTGTACTATCTCTGGCCTGATTCTTCTGCGTGCTCTATTCATCAGAATTCGGATGATGAGTTTTGTTATGTGGCTCATAAGACTGATTGCTCAGTGGAGTTCACATTTGTTTGCACCTGGATTCTTAGGCAGTGCTATAAAAATAGATCTGCTTAGGTCTTCTGGTATATCCCCACTGTTGTAGCTTTCATTTATTATTTCTGTAATCTTGTCTCTACTGAAATTTCTAAGGCTTCCAGCATCTCTATTACAATTGTCTGGCCCTGCTGCTTTGTTTCTTTTCAATTTTGGCCAGTGAAGCTTCCACTTTGATTTTTAGTATTTCCAGCCCATTGATATTTCTGTGTATTGCCGATTGTTCTCTTTCATCATGGAAGAGATCTCCAATATATTCATTCCAGCACTGAAGAATTTTTCCCTTCTCTAATATGAGCATTCCATCCTTGAATTTTATGCAGCCTGTTGATGAGCATATCTCCTTTCCTGTTTTTTTATGCATATCTGTGAAACTCATTCTATTTCTGCACATTTCTCATTGAGCAATTCTTCTCTAGCCTGCCTGCATTTGTTCCCTATTTCATTGTATATTTTACTGTATTCCATTCCATGTCTTGGCATTGTTTTCTGTCTCCTTTCCATCATGTCAAGAATCTCATCTGTGATCCGTTTGTTTTTTCTTCTTTGACCATTCTCCTTTAGGATGACATCATTTGCTGATGTCACTAAAAGCTTCTTTTAGTGTGACCCATTTCAAATTTCTATTTCCATTTTGTCCCTCATAACTTCTTTTCACACTGTCTATGCATTTTTCCTTCAGATTTGGATCATTCAGGGGTCAGATTGTATTGCAGTTTGGATGTTGTCTTAAGCTTCTTCAGTTTCCATAGTTTCATTCTTAATTTACATATAACAGGGAGGTGGTCAGTTCCACAGTTGGCACTTGGATAGGTTTTGCAGTGGACAACAGCATTCCTGAATCTTTTGTTGAGTGGAGACTATTTGGTTTGGTGCTCCTGCTATTTATCTCAAGGTTCTTGATAAAATCAAAAGAAGGATCTGTAATATAATCGATCTTGAATTCAGTCATTTTCTCCCCAATGTGACATGGCTTCTCTCTGTCTTTCCTATGAATATTATCTTGGTAACTATTCTAATCAGCTTTTTTCCCTGGTGCCCCGACTACATGAACTTAAGCATGCCACTAGATTGGCATCTAGGTCCCACCCTTTTACTGTTGAAATAGCTGAATGCAACCACCACTTCTACTCCAACAGTTTCTTTCTTTTTTTTTTTTTTTTTGCACTTCTCGCCTGTGGAATTTCCTTGCTTACTTGCTTCCCTGATAACTACAATATTCAAAAATTTAAATGCCATGTCAGTTGCTATCTTCTTGAATCACCTGAATCTTTTGTCCTTTCCTCTATCCTCCCTATACCTATTTTTTCTCTCACTTTCACCCTCTGTAACCCCCTGTGTATTAGTAGCATTCCCACCTTGCTTGGGGTGAAATGATTAAAAAAGAAAAAAAAAGAAATCATTTAACATTATACAATGAAAATTTCAGTTCAAACTTCAGCAAATAACTACATGTCTGAGTACAGACTTATTGATCCACCTTCATATTTTCCAATTTATCGCTCTTTTAGTTTCACTCTTTGTTCTCCTTGAAAATGTGAGATCCACGATCCAACAGATTTTCTTCTGCCTCTTCATGAACAATTTAAACTGGATCAGGAAATTTGTCTACATTTCAAAATCCAAAAGAATTCTGTTTTTCATTCAAACAGCTTCTGGTTTGTGGTCATATCATTAATCGATACAATGAAAACAATGCTATTTGCATAATTACCAGTGGTTCACTGTTCCTGCCCTGTTTTGTCTATTTTTGTACACCTTCTGAGATAATTTACTACCTTCATTTATTATATGATTCATTATTTTTTTATTCTTTTTATTTCTCCAGAAATCCATATTTTACCCATCAATGTTTGGTAGTGTGCTGGTGGATGTGATGTTGATGCAAAAAGATAGGTTTCCCGAGAGAAGACTGCCATGGATACAGACCACCTTATCTGAAGAGGTGCTTCGGCTCAATGGTGCTCAAACTGAAGGGATATTTAGGTAACAACATCATTATTACTATGTACTTCTGCACAATTTGGGCCTCTCATAACTATCGGTGCTAGAACATTTGACTGAAAGTCAAAGATGTCAGTAAGAAGAATAATATTAACAAACATCCAGTAAATGTTTTCTATCTTGATCTATACAGTAGTAACCTTAAAAACATAAATCTGACCAAAATGACATATTAATTAAATGACATATTAATGACATTAATGTTATTAATATGATATATTAATATCATTAATATGTCATTAACATTACATATTAATGACATATTAATCAACCTGATTTTTTTACTTACTGGTATAAAATATAATACTAGTATAGTAACCATAAAAATAACAGGATTATTTATGTGTTGATCAGCATTTGTAAACCTAGACTTCATCAGGTCATTCTAAGGATGAGATGGAGAGGTAGCTTACATGGTGGAGAATATGATATATAAATTTCTATATATCAGAACAATTCGCCTAATGCTGCAGAAAATAAATAAGGTTTTTATCATGTGTATGAAACAAGGGAGATAATTTGTGTAAAGTGCAATGCAAAACAGTCATTGTAGTGATAGTTAAATACTCGTCATTATCAAACAATAAAAACACTATCAATTAAATTGGAATTGCACATCTTTGTGCCAGGTACTTTACAGGGGAATAAAAGCAGAACCATGGATGTTCTGGTTGATTTTACAAATCCCTTCACTACATGAATCTTTCTTTTATATGTCTTATTTTCAGAATGCCAAAACACAATCTCAGCATCAAGCCTGCTAAGCTTATCAGAAACATAAAAATAGCTATTTGGGGTGAATTTCTCTTTACCTTGTGTTGGTCATTTAAATTGAAAGGTTCCATCAATTTTTGAAAAGCCCCAAGAGCCTATAACTTAAAGCAAAATTATGGGCACCAGAATATCCAAAATGATGACACATTGTGCATGCACAAACATTTTGACTTCTCTAATATATTTACATGAAATTAAAAAAAAAAATGAATTGCTGAGTTTCCAAATGTTTGTCTGGTAAGCTTTGAATATGATACATTCATCTTCATGAAAAGATATCTGCTCCACAATTAACCAATATAAGTGAAGTCAGATTTATTACAATCAATTAATCAAATGGAACAAGAAATCTTTGACAAATGATAGGAAAATGACACTTTCACCAACAAACTTCCAGTGTCATACCTAAAAAATAAAAGACTAAAATTGTTTAGAGACTTCTTTTTATGATTTTTAATAATTTATACACACACACAGTTTTTGCATGATATTTGATAGATGCAAGCATCGGATGTAATATGTTGTTTGCTGGTGCTATTTAATAAACTACGGATAGTTCTAGTAGGTAATATTGTAGTTTTAATTTTTAACACATTTAAATTATTAGAGATACGTTCGGTCAAATGGTTATTTGGTAGAAAGATGCGACCAAAAGAATTATTATCAGGGGCAGCTGAAAGTGTACCTTTCACTGATGTAGTTGTAGTGGCCTTCAAAGTGTAGTTTATTAAATAGCACCAGCAAACAACATATATTACATCCGATGCTTGCATCTACCAAATCTCATGCAAAAACTGTGACTTAAAATATGTGGGTGAAACATGTAGGTCCGTAAAATCTCGTGTTTTCGAACATAAACGAGATATTCGCCTTGGAAATTTAAATAATGCTATAGTTGTACACACAACTAAAGCAGATCATAATTTCGATTTTGATTCCGTGAAGATTTTAAAATATTTTCATAATAAAAATCTTAGGCGGATTTATGAAGCAGGCATAATATCCATCTCATGCACGGTGAATACTAGACCTGGTTTCTTTAGTATTTCCCCTTTTCTAGCGAGATTAATGCTCGACAAGCGTACATATAAATTTTAGTTCAAAATAGAATCCGTTTCATTTTTCATTCAAAATACTCAAATTTTAGAAATACGTTTTCACAATGTCGCCCATGTGATGACAACGTGAACATGTTTTAAACGGAGCGCTGATCTTATAAAACTTTCAGTTATTTGTTTGGATAAGTCTTGTTCTTATGTACATCGTCTTTGTCATGTTGTATTGATAATGTTATAATTTATGAATATGTCCTGAAGATGGTTTATTAGACCGAAACATCCGACATTGACATATTAACATTAAAACAGCATAATTGTATATAAGGATTTTTGTTTGTTTTTTCCATATATATTTTTCTTCATACTGTCGGATCTATATCCATATATTTGCTTACATATATATATATATATGTGTGTGTGTGTGTGTGAAATATTTTTGTTTTATTTATCCATTTACACTGCTGTTTAATGGTTTTCAAAATCAGTTAAATTTTTTTTTATAATGTTTCCAAGATTTATTGTTCTTTTCATGTTTTTAAAGGAATGCATCAGCATGGCAACAGTTCAAAATAATTTCATTTCTTTAGCTAATTATTCACATTCTTAAATTCTAGTTCATCCATCCATGAATAGATTGTAATTTCTTCCTGAATTTCTATTTGACTTTTTTATTATACTCCATTATACTGACAGGTTCTCCTGCTTTATTTATAACACTTGTATATTAAAAAATCTCTTTTAAAGAAACTTAAAATAGATCACTCTTATATACATACTAAAGAAATATACAAATTATGTATAAAAGGAAACTTTATGTATGCACAGTCTGATATGTAACTTGTACTAAGAAAAAACTATATTCATGTACCCTGAATTCTACGTCTGTTTTCAGAGTTCCTGGTGATATTGATGAAGTGAATGCCTTAAAGATCCGGTGTGACCAGTGGATTCCCCCAACCGACTGCCCAGACCCACATGTCCCTGCGTCATTACTGAAGCTTTGGTACAGAGAGCTCTACGAACCTCTCATACCGGCGGCTCACTACGATGACTGTATCCTAAATTACGACAGCTCCGAGGCTGCTGTAGCTGTTGTAAATAGATTACCAGAGATTAATCGGCTAGTACTCTCTTATTTAATTAGATTTTTACAGGTGAGTTTTTGTTTTTTGCTTGTTTTTTAAGTAATTTTCACAGTTCAAGAGCCACTTAAGATAGAGTGTTACTTATTGAGGTGTGTGGTAAGCGTAGGAAGCGAAGATCATGAAGATCTGAAGGATAGATAATGATTGACCCTAGACTTGAAGAGGTTAAGATTGTAGTGTTTGGAGAAGCAACCACACGGGAGTCTGTTCCACAAAGTGGATTTTGAGGAATAGTTGTCTGAGTGGTACTTCCTCCTTACAATTGGAATATAGAGGGTAATGAGCGTGATTTGACTCTGCAGATTTAGCATGGCAGGTCTTGAAATGCTGGAAGCAAAGAATGGAGCTTGTTTGAACATTTGCCATTGAAATGGTAAATATTTATTAAAAAATAAACTCTTTTTATAGAAAACTACTTCAGTTCTCAAAAATGTCAATCTCTTTATTTTCATTGTCCCTTGAGTATAATTGAAACTATTCTTTTTTTTTTATTAATTTTATTTAAAATGAATATCTGATTATTTCCCATCTTGCGGATGTGGAGGTAGTGTAATGGGATGGGAAATCTGATAGTCAAATTCAAATTTCAGTTGTGCTCATTTATTTTGTGTTCACTTATGTGCAAATACCCTTGGGAAAGGTATGAATCCTCTTCTTCTCCCTCCAACTATGGGTTAAATAACAGGACAGACTAGGCTCTCTTGCTGTGGTTGGCAACCAGTCTAAGAGAACGACTTTAAATTCAAAACTGTAATGACCAAAGCACAGATTGCCCTTTGGCCAGGCATAGCTCCCAAAAGTGACCCATGCCAGGGTTATGGCAAAGACATCGGCAGCAGAATGACAGATGTAATCAAAGGAATCTACCAGACTAGAATTGATATTGAATTGCATTTTGGTGTCATGCGAAAGATCTTTCATACTGGACAATGGATGAAATCTAATTAATCAGAGTCAAATGGAAATATGTCTCAACCAAGACCCCCTATGCTGACACACATAAACAGCCCCAGGAAGAAGTGTGTGGATGCTATGGAGTGTTGTGATGGCCAACCTAGTCTATATTTTCAATCTTGTGACCTAAATATTTCTTAAACATTTTTTTTTGTAGTCCACTTTATGGGAAAAACGATTATATAATTTTTTTATATATCAAGGAAATTTTAGGAAAAAAGTATGACAAAGCAAAAACAAGTTTTCATGTGATGCATTTTATCCTTCAGGACTTCACTAGACTAAAGTGATGTTTATGTTGATGCAACTACATATGCGTATGAAGAAGAGGGGACACTGATAATTTGAATTTTTTTTTTTTTTAACGTATGTTTTGGATCTATAATCCAGCTGATTTCAATTAGATTCTTTTTATTATTGTTTCCATCACTTTTATTAAATATTGCACATTGTGATAATAGAGCTGCTAAGAAGGGTGAAATGTTGAAAGAATCTGGATGTAAATTTACTGTGAATAATCTAGCAATTAAAGCTTTAATCAAATTTATTGATAAAATGCTTTGAATCTTCCTGACATATTTTTTTACTAGCAGTTAGGCTCGGCATTTAATCTATAATTACATATTCAGTTGTTTGAGCTTAGTTCAGTATAAATTCCAATCTGTAATTTTTATAGATGTTTCTTCTATGTGCCATGTCCCTTCAGATGTTGGCGATCATGTCCCTCCACAATTTCCTCTCCTTTATAGCTCTTAATAAAGTTTGTCTTTGTTATATCTCTCTTCTGTCATCCATTTACACAAACTCACTGTTTTCCTCTTTCTCGTGCTTTCAATCTGTCCTGTATCAAATTTTTCAAGCTCTCCTCCCTCATTATGTGTCCCAGAAATTTCAACTGTCTCTTCCTGATATTAAGTGTAGATATTTACTGAAGTCTAATTCAGTGCTGCAAATATAGTCCTCAGTGAGGATCAAACTTGATGCAACAGTAAAATGGTTTCTGTTAGGCAGAATAAGTGATTTTAGTTCATTGTGTCTTGATTTTATTTATTTCTTAATAAATGACTAACCTCATTGCAATCTGTTTGTTTCAGGTATTTGCTGCCCCAGAAAATGCTGCTGTGACTAAAATGGATGTGAATAACCTGGCCATGGTGATGGCCCCTAACTGCCTCCGATGTGAAAGTGAGGACCCCAAAGTCATTTTTGAGAATACGCGCAAGGAGATGGGATTTATTCGGACTCTAATCCAAAATCTAGATACCAGTTTTATGGAAGGCATAATCTGATGGGTGTTCAATTTTTTATGGGCCTTCTTTCATGTTGTGCTTGCCAAACAAACACTTTAATAATATTAATAATAATAATTATAACAATTATAATAATAACATTTTATTGAAAATAATGATAGTATATATATATATATATATATATATATATATATATGAAAAAATGAAAAAAAAAAAAAAAAAAAGTTTCCCTTTGGAGATGAAACAAAGGAAAAGAACAAAAAAATAATCTGGACATTTTGAAGGAAAAAATCCCAAATTTCTTTCCAAAAAGTTTTGATTTCTCTCCTATCTATCTACTGAAATCTAAAATTTAAAAAAAAAAACAAAAATCACAAAAAACATTTATTGTTTAAACACAACTAGTTAAAGTGGTCAGCTGATGCATTGAAGTCAAAAGTTTGTGTTATCAATGATATGGCCACAACTTAACCATTATTATTATTATTACTACTACTACTACTGCTGCTGCTGCTATGGTTGCTGCATGAATGCAGTCTACATTTGCTATGTGAACCTTATAATATGGGTCACCACACTCCAGTGGACAGGGCAATTTAAATGTATTTGGGATCTATTTCAAGAGGTTCCTTTACAATCACTCATAGCCATTAATGTTTTTTCTTTTCTTTTTTTTTCCTTATATGCTACATCATACAAAAAAGACATATCTTTTCCCACTTCCTCTTTTAATGCTGATGGCACAAGATAATATTAAAAAAAATTGGACATGATTAATGTATATTTAAAAATTACTGAGCAAAATTTAAAATATTTTCTAGACATATTAGATATTCAAAGATAATTTTTCGAATAGAAAACTTTTTGTTTAAAACTTTGGAAATTAGAACTTCCTGCTTTAGAAAATGTTATTAAATAAAATTATAAAAAAAATATTATGAAGTGGTTTCTTTGTGCCAGTTAAAACAAAGGCTAAAATATTAAATTGATTCTAGCTGCAGAATTAATTTCTTCTTTCATTGTGAAAAGGAAAAATGCATACCAAATTTACAAAAGAAATGTAAACAAGTAAATAGAATATTTGTCATTAAAGTTTGTTATTTTGTTGTGAAAGGTGATCATAAAATAATTATTTCTATTCTATAATTATTCAAACTAGCAACCATGCTAGTAAATTGTACTTGATCTATAATACCGATAACAGCAACAACTTCTCTCAAGTTTGACCAACTTTTTTTTTTTTCCTTTTTTTCATATATATATATATATATATATATATATATATATATATATATATATATATATATATTTTTTTTTCAATCCACTACATTTTTTGGATGCAATATTAATATTGAAATTACTCAAATTTAAAAAAAAAAAATGGATGAGACTTTTTGTGTGAGTACAAAAAAAAGAAAAAAAATTTACAAAAATTTTAAGAAACAAATCCACCTAACTTATTAATATCTTGTATAGATTTGTCAAATTTTGATGAAATCTTGTGCACTTTGCACAGGCCTGAAGACTCATCGATTGGTTCTTGTTGAGGAACATTTGAAATGTAATATATGGGTATACATATTTGTATGTATGTATGTATGTTAGTATCTAAATCTAAGTGTACATGCTTGTGTGTATGCTGTGTGTGTAATATTTCTATATGCACTTTCAAATGTGTGTATATAAATATGTACAGCTGATATATAGTTGCTGTATGATAAATACATGCTTATGAAATATATATATATATGTGTGTGTGTGTGTGCACATATAAGTTAGTTCTAGACCAATGTGTGTGCATATGAATTAGCTATAGTCTCTATGTATGCACCTATGATTGTATAAATGTGGTGCATTTCAATAAGCTATAGTTTGATGCGTGTGTGTATGTAAATGGGTGTTCATAATGGGGTGTGTGTTTGTGTATGAGTGGGTGCATATATGGTAGCTATTGTCTGTGTCTTGTAGTATAAAACACTTTGCTATTAGATAAAATGTACATTTCACATACTTCAGATGTGTATACACTACATCAGTTTCATGTGCATGTCTAAAGTATATTTGAAGCATTATATATTATGTCTCTCTCACATACATACATATATATATATATATATAAGCATATTGAATGTATGTATAAGATGCTTATACATACTGCATCCTAATTTGTATGTGGAGAATATATAATATGTGTGTGTGTGTGTGTATCTATTTTATATATATATATATATATATATATATATATATATGAGCGTATATGAATGTAAGGAACCTGTATATATGGTATGTGTGTGTATGTGTATATGTGTGTGTGTATGTGTATATATATATACACACACACACACAAATACACACACAGTTTTTGTGTGTGTGGTGAGATATATATATATATATATATATATTTGTATATACATGTACACATACACACACACACACACACACACACACAGAGTTGTCAATAATGAATTTAAATCATTGTTATGTGTACAATATATATAAGCAATTGAGTATTTATTGCCAAAAATATCAGTTCTATCTTTATTTTTTCTTGGTCCCTAAAAAGCATAACCTATGCAACCAAAAAAAAAGAAAAAAAATGATAAGAAATTGCCAATGACTGTTTATCTTTTCTTTTCAAACTGATGCCGTATTAGAAGTGTTCCCCTGGTTGTGCATTCATATTGGTATGTGAACATATTGTCATATATGTGTATATCTATCTACATGCACAACCTGGTCTTCCCAACACACACACACACGTGTGGGCGTTTGTGTGTGTGTGCATAACTAGTGTATATATATATATATATATATATATATATATATATATATGATCAAATAATACCAACAACAAAAAAAATAGCATACATAACAAATACCCATTGTACATCTGTGCACACACCTTTCTTCTTGACAAAAGTTTTTCACAAGATTTCCTGTTTCTCAGTCACCTGCACAGGACTGACCCAATTGACCCCAGTTTACTTTCTTCATGGCAGGCCCTGGTGGGGAGCAAGAAATTTATTTTCTTGTAAAGATACAAACTTAGCCTCCCCACTACCCATTCCCCACAAAAAAATTTAAGCCTACTTATTTATGTCCCAAGGGAGATAATCACCAATGCTACTTTGAGCACGGTACCTCTGTCCTTATCTTTTTATCTCCCTTTCTCCCTGCCTATTGTGTGATGAGTTAAACGTTGTCACTTTTGTTTGTAGTGGCCACATTAAATGAATTAAGAAAATGTCAGATAATTCTCGTTACTCTCTCTTTCCTTCTTTCTCACACCTATTTCCCTCTGTATGAATTTGTCTGTCCTCTAATATCGCTTGTCCGTCTGTAAAACTACTGTTGTTTAACCGTGGACAGGAAATTAATGCTTGTTAGTGGGGGTGGACTTGCACATTTGCCCCATGCTTCCTTAGATCCCCCTTTAAAAAGACAAAACAAAAAAAAAAAAAACAACCCTTTGTCCTCAAAATAAAATTAAATAATTAAAATAAAAAAAATTAAAAGATAAAAATAATCCACAAATTCTTTTGGACTCTGCACTTTGTTTGCCTGATGTGGTACCTTGTTGATTCTACCCCTCATCCCTCCTGCAAATCTCCTACACTTCTTTTGTTTCTCTCTCTCTTAAGTCTGTTGAAAATAACAAAACCCATTCGATCCTTATGAAACATTTGAAGAACTAGTCCCTATAGTAAAGTTATGTGCTGTTAAAAGTCAGTCACCAACAATTATTGCAAATAGACATTCATAACAATTACAGGCTTATGATGATGATGATGATGATGATGATTCATTGGTGTTTACTGGTTAGATTCTTTTTTTTAAGTATATCTTTATGTATATATTTTAGTGATTCTCATACTGATAAATATGTGAGGATATTTCTAAGTTAATTTTTAACCTACCTTAAGTCTTCACTACTTAATGGCAATTTTCAAAGCATCAGGGAGCATTATTTTAAAGCCTAACATACTAACACACACATGCACACACAGGTGAAAAATCCTAAAAAAGGTGTTCAATAGTATTGAGTTAATGAGGTAAAATCAGTTCTTAACTCCTTTGAAATGTAAATGTCTGAAACACTGCTTCAGGACAAAACTATTAATGGAAATGATTTTTTTTTTTTTCTTAACCTTGGTGAATATTTGATTAATATAAAACCTCAGTGGTAGAAGTAGGTAATGTGTATATATTTGAAATGGTTCATGTCAAGATAGTGTGCATTTGTCAGAATTTTTGTTTTGAGTTTGCCTTTCTCCATTCTTGCCTCAACTTGAGATGCGTGTCAGGAACTTGACTGAGGTTGACCGTTTTCGATTGAAGGCAAAATAGGCATTTTGCTGCAAAGAATTTGGAAACTCAGAAGAAAGAATTAGGATTCTAATCATTTGTTTTCTTCCGTGTTTTTTCTCTTTTTATTCTGCAGTGAACTTTTTCGTGCACATTTTGCCTCATGTAGTAACTTGGAGGGGATAACAGATAAAAGAAAAATGATGAAAAAAGCAAGAAAGAAAATGCTGGCAGCAATAGATGGAAAATGAAAATCAAGGTAGCCATCTTGTGCGTTGAGCCTCCAGAGCTTCATGTCTGGCAGGGGTCTATATTTGGTAGTTTGATCAGTTGAGATTTGATCAAACAATCATGGAAACGGTTTCAAAAAGATTAGTAGCTTACATTACTGTAATGGTGTAAGCTGTGTTTTAATGAGAGTTCATTTCCAATTCCTATGAATGTCCAAAATATTTACCCCTTGAGTTTTGGGTGACACTTCGTACATTATATTTCTACCTGAGGTTGTTAAGTTTTCCTGGCCATGTTTCTGTCCAATTGGTTTAACCTGGTTTCTTTTCCATGCCCAAAAACCAAACAGGTATGGATTCAGCCATATCCAAAAGAGACAAGGCAGAAATTTGAATCTGTAGACTGAGAAAGCAAAGAATCCTTAATTTAAAAGCAATGCCAGGTCACCTCCAAGTGGATGAGAATTGAGCAAATAATTCAGCCTACAGTCTTATCTTTAATGAAAATGAAAAGCTGATAACAAACATTGTATTTGAAATGTGAAAGCAAATAAATCAATATATAGAAAGTTAACCTTTCACAAATAATGGCTACAGACTCTCAACTTGTTGACTGACTTGGGAAGAATAGTTTCACAATTTAATAAACAATTAATGTTCTTTTCTTTTTTCATTAGTGACATCAACTGCTGTGTTTTGTAGTACAGTAAAAGAAAGCAAAGTCAGAAAATAATAAAAAAAATGTTTTGTTCAGTAAGTTTATGATAAACTTTCCATAATAAATTTCTACCATTTTTTTTCTTATTCTTATGTATTTCAAAAAAATCTTACAGAAATTTACAAAAGTGACACATTTTAATGTATTATATAAATAACTAATTTGCAGGATTTTTTTTTTTTGCTGTCTTTTTAAAGAAGACATTGGTTTAAATATACTTTTTCTTTGGAAATATATTTAAATAAGTCATTTTATGTAACCTTATTCCTGTATTGATATATCTACTGACGTACATGGGATAGAATTTGTCAACTCAAAATGATAGATATGAAATTTAGAAAATATATTTTGTATCTTTTGTTTATGAAAGGAAAATACTTTAATGTTTTCCTCTGTCAACCTTTTAAAACTTATAAAAAGTTTTGCACCAATACAAATCTCCTAAAATATACATTATCTACTTTTGAGATAACAATTTATTTTTTTTTTTTATATATC